AACGTACACTGTTTTGTTGAATTTATCTCCCACGGCCGTACCAGACTTTGTAATTCTTTCAACCTAAAAACACCTATTTGTAGAACCAGTACTTTTCAGGCCTCATACTTTAATCGCATTGTTAAACTCTGGAACCTTACTTGCTCCCTCTTACCATCCACCAGCTTTGACAACCCTGGTTCGTACCAGAAATCTGTCCGAAATGTAATGCTAGACCGCCTAAAAACTATATATGACATTGATTGGCCCTGCACCTGAACAATAGCCAGTACGTGCTAGTGCCACTAAGTTGAAATTATTTAAATATTTATTCTGTATTTTTGTAATTTTCCATTTTATAGTGTTTTTCAATTCATAATAGGCGGCGCCTCGCATGGAACTTAACGTCCCTTTCGCGCCTTCCTTTTTGGGTGCAGTTTTATCTCAGTTTCTCTTCTGTTTTCTATTTGTTATTGTATTATTGTACTCTTGCCTTGTTGAAATATTTACCTGAAATGTCCAATAAAGTCGTTAAAAAAAAATAGAAACAGCAACACGACAACGCGCCAATTTCGTTCCGCTTGTATACTTCTGTCACGCACTCCCAGTAAATAAATATCCGCGAAATTCGCCCGGACTAAAATAACAGTTTGGCGTGTTGGATAATAAATAGCTTATTAGACGTTTTGTTGTGTAGTATCGCTGAGTATTTTTACTCGTTATTTGTATTTTGACTCGCCCTAAATACGGCACAATACGGCACAATACGGCACAACTCGTAAAAATACTCAGCGATACTACACAACAAAACGTCTATTAAGATATATGTATTTTTACTGGTTGTTTGTATTTTGACTCGTCCTACTGGCTCGTCAGAATACGTTACAATTCGTAAAAATACTCAGTGTCACCACACAACAAAACGTTTAATAAGATGTGTATACTCAGTTCCCGTGTTTCTATATTACTTATCACAATGACATAGATCACTTGAAACTACAGTAAAAAAAAAAAAAAGCTATTCCCTTGTCAGCCTAGGTGCTTTGTGGAAAAACAATGAAAAATATGTTGAAATAAAAAAAATTAATAAAAAACTATATATTCACCTTATTCAGTTTTGAAAAAGGACCGATGGGATCATGTGACATATGGATCGCCTTGTGAAAAATTAGTGCGAAGCAAAATGTACAATATCTAAACGGACTCGAAAATTCAAATATTTAACAATTATTCACCGAAGGCGAAATGAACGTTGGTGCCGAATAATTCCCGAGACCAAGTCGAGATCGAGGGATCCTTGTTAGGTGAGTTGCGTTACAAAAGACGGTCACGGTAACGTTTAGTGACTCGATTAGTCTTGTCTCACCATAATCGTCCTCTTCTATCCTTAAGCTAAGAAGGAAATGTCCTTAAAGATTAATGTGACTCAAAACCACTTGAAATAGAGGATATTACATCTTCGAGTGCTTTAAGTATCTTTAACGTGTGAGCGAAGCGAACGAGTGAGAGATACTTTAAGCACGAGAACATAAAATTCCTATCCCCAAGCAGCCATGTAATGTTCTGTTTATTTTATAGATACTGATGAAATTTCCACATAAAACAGCTTTTTTTTATTCATTTTCGAAACAGCAAAATAGTGCAATTAAAGTGGTCACCTATCGCAAAATTCCTGTCACAAAAATGTTATGAAATTCGGATATAAAGTTATAAAGGAGAAATAAAGACAATAGTACTTATATTTTTATATTTTCTGTTCCAAAACGTCAAAATTCTAATGTAAAAATAGTATAATCATGTTAGTAACCATGGCGACACCAATAACCTAACACGTGAAGATAAAAATAGTATCTTCACAGCACGCGATGGAGATATGATTTTTTAGTAAAAGAAAAAATCCTGGTATATCTTCGGTATATTTATAATAAACTGCGTTTTGAAACAGATGCCCTAAATGGATATAACCATCGCGTTTTCGTTTATATGTCTCGTTACCCCACTAAGGTTGCAGAATTAATGTGACCTGTCATTCCAACCTCTTTCAATAGAGTTACTTATGAATCACCACAGCCGCCATTTCCGCTTTCAAATATTTTCCTCCACTTTCGTCCGTCACCATTGACTCTCGAAAGAAATCCATGACTTCGTCCTTCAAAGCCCGATCTGCAGTGACTCTAAAGTTTTTCTGATGAGTCAAAAAGTCTAAGAGCAGATCACTCTCTTCTGAAGGCTCTCCAAAACACTTGGTTATGTCAATAGAAAACTCTTGTGTTATTTCATCATACGACCAGCCAGTACTCCTCGTGGCTATCGTGGCGAGGTCCTCTTTGGTGTAGATGGTCATATCCTCAGATCCAAAGGTTAGCTTTCCTTTAAACTTCCTCTGCACTTTAGCAAAGAAGGAAGCTTCGGTTTGGACAAGACATAAGATGGCTCCCTTTTCTCCCAGATATTTTTCGAAGCACGATTGGAGGGCATCTTCGGCATCCATGTAATAAATGCTGTGGATAAAGTGGATGAAGTCTTGTCTTGGTTTGCTCTTGTCATCAGCGATTAGGCGCTGGTATTCTTGAAATGTCATCTGCCGCCATTCAAACGATACCTCAGCTAATGCTGTCAGCGAAGCTGGCATTGACGAGGCAGATTCTTTAAACTTTTCCAAAAGAAATGAGCTTGGCTCCACAACTACGCTGTGGATAGCAGGCTTGGTCTCAGTTTCGTTAGCTTTAAAATGAGCTGCTACGGAGTGGATCATCAGTACATCCATTTCACCTTTTCCGCTACCAATTCCTAAAATCCTAAAGGGCCTATTCTTGTCGCTAATCTCCATAAGCGCTCGCTTCGTTCCACCTTGTACGCATTTCACAATCGACTGTCTGGCAGTAGAGTGGTCCAAAAAGGATTGAAATGATTTCTCGTAAGCTTCGTAGCTCTTTGACAACGTTTCAAGTGGCATTTTTTTCCGTGATCAGACAAGAAGCCGGCGCAAGACAGCTGCGAGGTATACACATCAACAGTGTGTCTTCTGTTTAGCAACTCAATGGACACCTCCTCCACCAATCCCTTGTTTTATGTAAACAATCAGCGCATAATATGCTTAATCCCTGTGGTTTTATCTGCTTTATCTCGAGTCAATGAGCATCGAAGTGTTAACTGTCATAATAAACTCTACTGAATTTTCCCTCGGGTTATGCATTGCATGATGTGACTGTATCGAATTTTGCCGAGTCACTGCACGAGCGCTTTCTTTTCGTTCAATTTTGCTGACCCTGACTTACAAACCGACAGGCCAAAATCACGAAGACCTCTTAATAGGAGTCTTCTAAAGGAAAAAAAAATTCAAGAAAAAAAACCTTCATTGAGAAGAATTTTATCCCTGCACAAAAAATGTAGAAATTTTCTATTTTACTTTAGATGTTTCAGATTATTTGCGTTTTTGTTTACCGCAACTGACAGATCAACTGAAAAGCGTGGCTTGTTTGAATATTTCGGGTTGATATTTATCTTGAAATGATAATTTGAAATCAGCAAAGATAAGATTTATTATTTTTTTGCTTTGTCTGTATTTTGTCTTGTGCTTATATGCGAACCGACAAAGGTTATGGAACTACGAGTACGACCAGTGGAACGGGAAACTTGGATAGGGAATGTGGAACATAGAACGTGGAAGGTGAAAAGGAAACAGTAGACTGTGAAATACGGAATGAGATGCAAGAAGTTATTAAAAGGAAACTAGAAACAAGAAAATACAAACGAGAGTTTATGAAAATTGAGATCAATCAAAGAGAAAACCGATAGCGCGAAAAAGCTTATGGATGGTAAGTCAGTGGCGATAAAACATAACATTTTGATTCCAATTTTAAAAAAATGAGAGCTGATGATTAAACAAAAGCGTCAAAATATTACAGAACTAAAATTTAAGCCCTTTAGGCGTTTATTTTCTTACTAAGTTTCTTCCTTTGAGGGTTATGAATAAAAAAATTCGACTTCAAAAGAGACACTCGTCCATTATGAAGGCGTTTAAAAGCTTAAAACCTCGTGCTTCACACATTTTCATTTACCAAGCTCTGAACGATAGAAGGCGTTATAATGAGTCAAATGCTTCATTACTCGATGCAAGACAGAAGTCCTTTTAGATGCTTGTCGCTTTCAACGATCTTAGAACTAGGCTGAAGTGTGGCACTGCTGCTGAGATGGGAGTCGTGAGGGGCCTAGAATCTCAATATACCGCGAAAGGTAAAGCTTCTCTGATCTGGCGGAAACTGAACAATTGTTCAACCCGTTCATCCGTTGTAATCTTCGCTGAAAAAAGATGTGAAATAGAATAGTTTGTGCTCAACTCCTCCTGTGAACTGGAACCTTAGTCAGGGTGACTTGTGACTACCGAAATAACTTTGAAGGAGGTTCACGACTGGCTGAAACACGTGAGGCTTAAAATGTACCGCGTCATAAGGTTTTCTAGGCAGCCCAGTGCCCTCGGGATATGCGTCACTGATAGGAAATACATCAAGTATATCGACACCTGCTTTGCACATGGCGTCCATAGCGTAGGCGTTGAATAATAAAACACGCTGCAAAGAAACAAAGATCGAAGTTGTTCGAGGTGTGCAGCTCTTACAAGCGTATGTCTTTTTAAAATCATATCCCGAGAAAAACGAATCAATGTGACTGATAAAAGAAAATGAAATAAAACAACCACAATGAGGAACATACAGAAATACGATGTCCTAAAGGTAGGTTCAAACCCGTTCATTAACTGCTTAAATTTCTTTTCTTTTGAATGTTGGTTGTTTGTCAAATAAATTTTTCATTTTCCGCTTGGCAGATATGTTGGTTTATCAAACATACATCAGTTATTGAACAAAAAACTCAAGACATATTGATGTCCAAATTTTCTCTGCAGTTTTCGTGATCGAATCTATAATATAGGCAATCAGACTGATCATTAGTCAAAAAGAGATAATAGCCGAAGGGGTATTAATGTATAATCAAGCAGCACATAGAGGTTTTTTTAAACCTTATCAGTTGTCAAGTGTTCCTACTATACTCACCTGATAAGTCAAAAATCTAATACTGGTCGAATGTCGCGCATTGGTTTTTGGGTCTCCGTACTTCTCTTTATTAATAGCAGTTGTCGTCTTCCAGATAAGATTTCCTTTAAACCTCCATGATCTACCGTCCGTCTTAAATCTATCATTTAACAATCTAATTGTTTTGTCAATCAAAGTCTTGTAAGACGTAAAGTTTATTGTGTGCACGTAGTGCAGACCTAGATTGAGGACCAAGACGGATTTGGCGTTGCCCATAAAAGGCTGATCGATCACGTGAAAGATCTCTGTCAGAACTCTCCTAATACTGAAGTCTTTGTCATCCTTCTCTAATCGAGCTCTGGTCAAGTTTCTGTTGGGAATTTCGTAGACCCAGTTGTAGGTGCTATTACATCTTTGGAATACTGTTTTACACAGGGGCTGTTTGACAACGGACTTGTAGAAGAAATCGCCAATTGAGTCTCCGTAAATCCACAGTGTTCCTAGTTTTCTTGTCGAGCTGTTTTCTAACGAGCCAGATTTGTCTAGAGTTGAAGATTATGAAAATCATCCTATCAGTACGATGTGACGGATGAGTCGACTATACATTGATCAGAGAAGAGTACTTGTGGAAGGGATTTTTATTCATTTGATAAATCTGCTTCAAACTTCTTAATTTCAGACTAAATGAGGCGCGTGGATTATAAGACGGCAATATTTTTTTCTTCAACAAACATGCAATAGATATATCGCAGTCTGCACTTCAATACTTTGCTAACGAAATTAGCTGTGAAATAGTAAGTGTCCCCTGTACTCACCAGTTAAGTATGGTTTCCATGTGTCATTGACCCATCTCCCATTACCGTCCCATAGATCAGAGCATTTTACCCCACATGGTGTGTTCAGAGAGCCAAACTTGTTAATAACCTCTAGATGCGGGAAAATCGATATTAAAATTTTTAAAGTAACTTTTAAAGATAAAAAAGGCAACGTTCATTTCAAACCCGAGTTAGCCGGACTGATTGGCAATGATTTCGGTTGTTGTTTTCTTGGTTCATTAGGACATAATGAATCAATTATCTTCCACGTCTGTTTCAACTTTCACTAACTTGATCATAAGAACAGTTAGTAGCCACCTTCTGTCGATGCAAAAATTCTATTTCGTTAGAAGATGAAGGCCACATATAATACCATTATAATATCATCACTATCACCAGGATTATCTGTTCGAAAACGACCAGGTGCCATCGTTCCAAGGAGTGGTATTAGGGCCAGTGCTTATAAGCATCGAGGGAACTCAGTAACTTACTTTCGAAAAGAGGTTCAGGGGATCGTGGAATATGGATAGTGAATGGCGCACCGTTCCACAATGGACTTAACAGAAATGGCTTTTCACGACTAGGAAGAGCATCCGGTGTTTGGTATCTACCTTGGGCGTTTCCTATAAAGGAATACATTTTACATGGTTAACATGGAACTTTCCGCTAAATTCAATTTCGCCTTTAAAACCACTTCTCAATAATTTTTCAGTCTTTCTCTCAATTTCTTCTAGATTTAATTCCACAAAACTATTATGTTTCTCATTGCCCCCTCCCCCCCTTCCTCCTAAAAATTTCCAGATAATTCAACGAAAGAAGAGTTATTTTGAGGAGAACATACAAACTCACGGCTAAGGTTCACTAACAACCAGGTAGGAACTAGGTCTCATCATAATAAACTCCACATCTTTAATTCCACATCTTTCATAGAGAAATAAAGATATCTTCAAGGCGAAAGAATACGCATGAATATGTATCCGACAACAAGTTATTTAATCAATGACCTTCCCTGTTTCTTAAGACCTAGGGTCAAATACATGATCTAGCGTCAACTACATGATTTGTCTACGTTCAACTTCATAAAGCAGCGAGTCAATGGAGCGGCAAGGAAAGGCGAGGTGTGACGAATCAATCGCCATGCGCATCCATTACCCCAGTCCCTTCCCCAAACCCTCCCCACAGCACAAGGTAGTAACGAGTAAGTATGAAATCATGCTTCTGATCCTTTCCTGGATCTTCCAAATAATACAGGCGTCTTAAGGACAATTCATTAACAACAAAGAGCTAAATAGAGGATGTCGTTTAGTGTTATTGGTTGAACTAACCTTTTATAAACCAATCTTTTGGTGGATCTTTATATCCATCACACGAAGAATACTCCAAAACCACCTCTACATCATACTTCCCAGGTTCCAGAACAAGAAAAATGACTTCATACTTCCCATTATTATGATCAATTACTGTTGGAGACATCGAAGAAGGTCCTCGTACATGAACCCGCCAAGAGTCTCCACCTTTCTTCTTGTCAAGGTTATCTTTCGTTACAGACTGGATTTCAAATCGACTAAACTGCCCGGCAGGTCTAATATCCCACAATGTCAGATAGCTTTTAGCAGCATCTGTTCTGCTTTGGTCACGCCATGAACCGGTACTCTTTCCCCACTCCATGTTATTTGCGCATGATCGTAATAATCCTTTCCAGTCTGTGCGCAGTCGCTTGAGACGACACCAAGTTTCCATAAAGTCGGCGTAGATCTCATGGTTGCGAGTGTGGTTCTTTACTGTTCTCGAATTCTTTTGTTTGGATGAGATGACATGAACGTGAAAGCGGTAGTGCAGCCAGTACACGTAAGCAAACAGACACAAAGCCAGCACAGTTAAAGATCTTCGAGATATCACCCGAATCGGACATGTTGCTGTTGCCGAGAAAATCATTCAGAAATCTCCGTCATGAGTTTTTAAAGGAATTAATTCACATGCTTCACAGTTTTTAACAGCATATCGAGAACCTGAGGTAAAAAACATATATTACAAGTATGTCAAAAGCCATTTAAAGATAATTTTTCTTTTGATAATAACAAGGCGCTTCGCTCCGACTAAGGGCTAACGCTCGAAACGTCAGCTTTTATAATCGCAACGGTGGCCAATTTATCATTTCAACTTTTTTGATATATTCAAATTATTTCGTTACCCCCACCGACGCAGCCCCAAACAGTTTCTTTAGAAACTATCAGCCTTTATTCGCTTTAAGGTAAAGCCTGTTTACGAGCCAAGTGGCACATTGGGCCGGCGCTTATCTTCAGTTCCCGTAGTATGAAGCGACTAGGAGTATTTCTACTCCTTTCTGGATGGAATGCTAGTCTATCGCAAGCTTACCCCAGCATTAAATTCGCCGCAGCCCATTTATTCTCCCGAGTGAAGCAAGGCACTATGAGACTGTAAAGTGTCTTTCCCAAGAACACAACACAATGTCCCCGGCCAGGGTCGAACCCGGACCACTTGGTCCGGAGTCGAGCACACTAACCATCAGGTGGCTGCGCCTCCACACCAAGGCTCTTTAAGCAGCCATTTTATAATAATTTAAGTCAGACTAGCTTAAAAAAAGGCTCAGTCATGGGTTGATTGCTCCAAAGTAAATGTGTACTCTATGCAGAATACACAGTTGGTCCGATCTACACGTGTAGCGCGAACATCGATTATTGCGGTCACGGTTATTACTCATGTACATATCCTAGTTGGAAATACTCCAAATTTTACTTTACTTGTTCACGTACGGAATAAAAGACCACAATTTTATCAGTTGAAATATTTTCATTTTATGCAACAGGTAACTTTAGCTTTTGATATTCCTTTGTCAAGAATTTGTTGTCTTGAAAGCAGCGTGAGTAATCACCATGAAATCGACCAGTCCGTTTGCTCTGAGAGAAAATGTGGTCTTTATTCTGCGATGATTACACGAATTTCACACTCCCTAAATGGAACGTTTAATACATTTACTGATGACAACTCGATAGAAATATCTCAGCATGTCCACCCTATAATCGCGCCGTTGTGGTACAAACTAATTCAACGTCGCAGTGTCTTTGATAAAAACGGAATATAGATAGCCTCCAGAAATCTCTGCTGATAATTTATTGGAGCAACAAGTTACCTTAGGAAGGGGTTTTTGCTCAAGCTCCTGCTTCATACAATTCAGTTGAAGGCGTCATTTGTGGAGTCCACTTTGATCACAAGAAGAGCAGCTCGATTAATTTTGTTTGAGGATTAGCTGGCCTTTTGGCGCGCGACTGGTACCAGTTTCCCTTGAGGCGATATATCGCAGGTGGTTTAGAAAGACTGCCTATCAACTGACTGTAAATATAAAAATAATGCAACTAAATTTCGGTACAAGTTTTATAAAAAACACAGACCGAGCTTGATTTGAAAAACAAAAAGGCTCAGTAACTGATCAAGTCAATCCAGATTATAAATGAAAGGCTCCAGAGTAAGATCGTGATATTATTTAATTTCTTGCAAGAGGAGACCACCCGAATGTTTAGACAATAATATCAGCCATGTTTTAACTGGTAGTATTTTGGTTAAGACCGTAGTCAAAAGCTAGATAAGGCCCTAATAGGAAAAATGTTTTTTCATGCTTTTATAAGACTGTAAGTAATGTTCAACCATTTTCGGTAGCTACAGACTCAGCATACAATATAAGAGCGATATCAGCCGGGTGCGAAGCTTATCTCTCAGAAAGTTTACAATACTTGTGGAGAGTAGTTGTCAAAAACAGATAATCAAATGAATCTTACATAATCTTGCTTGACTATATGCCTCAGATTAATCATGGTCACCTTTGTGGTGATAACTCGGCATTTTTACTTCAGGAGGAGTTAAAATGTCATTATAATAACCGCACGTATAATTGTAAGAAAACCCAATTGTCAGTATACCATCACTCTTATGAAACACAGCATAAAAAGCAAAACTATTAGAGACAAAAAATTCCCCCTTCTGTTATTATGAGAGTTCATTTCAATGTTGCGTGGTACGTGCTTGGATCACACTCGTAAGCATCGTAAACTATTGGATTGCTATCCTGTGAACACAAAAATTTTACTGCGTCTTTTGACAAAAAAAAAAATTTATTCAACCGGGGAAAAACGGTGTTCGCAGTCGGATGATGGATTTCTAAGAAGACGTGGTCATCAGGTTATTGTTATTCTACATTCCAATTATCAAAAGAACGAACAATGATTGATTGAAGAAAGACGATTCTTCTTCATGCCATGATCGTGGGACAAAGAAAAAAATCCCATTGAGGAATCAAACCTCAGACCATCGGATTCCAGGTCCCGCATGTCTATCACCGAGCCACCGAGACGTTTTTCTGTAATTTCCTGCAACTAAATTTCAAATGTCCTCAAAAACCCGAAGATATGAATTAAAGTACTATGTGCAGTCAACTGACTCAGAATTGTTTTTTCCATCGTAACCGTCCCTTCCTATCTGGCTATCTGTTGTTCAACGCAGCGAAAAGACGGCTGAATACAACAAATGTTTCCTTACAATTTTTTTTTAATTCTAAATATTTCTTAAACACGAAGGCGCGCTATATAAGGAAGTCTTCCCTGCGAAGACCTAGGCTCATTTGTCACTCACCGTTGACGTGTGCGGGTCAAATTTAAATGCTGGTAGACGAGCAAAAGGGGCTGATGAGATATCTATTGTTTACTTCCACCAGCATGGTGGCATGAGGTCACGTGCGAACCACCGACTTCGATCTCAAATTTACCGTCATAAATAGAGTTTCCATTTGAGAAAGGAAATACAAATCTCAAAAATTTTTGTCTTGTGATGAAGACATAAAACAATTTTGAGGAATGCGTCCGCTGTTCACTGCTTTGGAGTAGCTGTAGCTCAAGCTGACTTGACTCTAAGAGTTCTACATCACTCGAAGGTTGATTGACAAAAGGTCCAGTGGGACCTAAGGCTCCTTTTATAGCGCGCCTTCGAGTTTAAAGCATTACTGTAAGGATATCCGACATTGGGTAAAAGTACTATATATCGTATTATGATCAATAGAAGTGTCTGAGTAAGATAATCAGTATAACACTCTTGTTTCAAGATTGATCTTCAAAACTTAAATCTAAGTATGTACATACAGCATTTACTGATTATCCAATTAGAGGTAACGAGCATGCACGAACTTACTATACGATGAAAAAATCAGGTTTCTCGACTATTATTAGTCATTTGCTGCAAATTTGGTGTCATGTCAAGATTATCTACATTTTCCGGTCCTATTGCCTTCACCCTTTTCATGTTCAAGTGGCAGTTTACCAAACTTCAATATTAAATGATTACTTTGTAAATCGATCACTTCTGGGAGTAAAAAAGTGGAAAATAACAGAGAGGAAATCACTTCCCTTAACTTTCAAGCCATTTATAGCTTCTCATCTAGGAGACCTTCTACCCCACATCACCACTTGTTTTGATACAGAACCGACTCGGTTAATCAAGAAGGTAACTTTGTATGTGATGAAAAAGCTCCAGATCATTAGATAACCTTATTAGCCACGATTGGGATGTATACTACAGATATAAACCAAGTATCACACTTAAACCAGCAACCATATACCCTGAAAACGAGGGATCCAAATCCAGTTAGTCACTGTGTGTGTCGGATAAATTTGCTGCTTTTCTAAATTAAAATATCGTAGGAATTTGAAATAAAAAGGAGTAGCATAAAAACTCTGAGGTCAAGCTTAATCATACTGAGTTCACAGCTCTGAGTTTTGGTCCCACTCGCACTCGCAATATGGAATGACGAGCAATCGCGGGGACTTGAGCAACAGGTGGCCTTTGAAGAGGAATGGGCAAAACCAGCGCTTTTGTGAAAGGAGTTTGAGCCAAACACGGAGCAGCAAACTTAAGCAGCGTGGTTCTCACTTCTTGGATACGATAGGTGTACACAAGAGGATTCATAGCGCTGTTACTGTAATGGAGGAACTTTACAAAATCTAACAAGTGTATCAGACTGACGCCTTGCGGAACTACTTTCTGACAAAATACAAACAATATTGAAAGTGTATAAAACGGGAGCCATGACACCGCGAAAGCGCCCGTAACAATTAGAACGGTTTTTACGATCGTCTTTTCCCGGATAACTTTTCTTTGAAGCGAACTGGAGGGAAATGACCTTCGGCGAGTGTTAAACAGTTTGACGCTCTTGTGAATGTTGGCGTACATGCAGATTATGACAAAAAGAGGGAGAATAAAGCCTCCGATGGTAATTAGTAGAACTCTGTATTTCTGCCAGGGTACGGCATTGGAATTACTCACGAATATCTGCGCAATGGCGAGGCCATACAACCATGTTACAGCTATAGCAATGTAATAGTATACACGCGGCATAACACGGTGTCTTAGTGGTCTTGAAATGGAGAAGTTTCGTTCGATGCTGATAACTGTGAGATGTGCAATGGAGACCAGAGCACTTGAAATGTCCAGGAAAGTGTACATCTCGCGGAAAGACAGGTTGAAAGCGCTTGGTGCTGAATGATTCAAATCGTACAGCAAAATGTATATCCAACCAGGGATAGAGAAGGCTCCAACGAAAAGATCTGAAACTGCTAAACTCACGAAAAAGAGATTGGTTGCTGTTCGTAGCTTTCTGTTTCTGGTGAATGTGGCTATGATGAGAGAGTTACCCAGAATCACAAACAACGCTAGAACGGTGTATATAACTACAAAAGCGAGCGTTTCTTGTTCTGAGTGCCTGGGAAAAGATTTCTGTGAAGTTCCATTCGTGGCACTCGATATTCCTGGAGAAGAGGTAAAATTCTCGGAAACGAAACCCTCCATTTGAAAATGTCGTTATGGCTTGGATCTGAAACATAATATTAATCATCTTTATTGAGGAAACTTTTTCATAACAAATATGGTTTTCAAAAAGGACCTCGAAACTAGACATATCTATATAGTAGAAACAAAAAAGCAATAAAATTGCAAAGGGGACAAAAAATGCATAAAAAATTGAAAATAAAAATAAATTTAAATTAAACGTAAGTAGCTATATTAAAAACTTAAAAACATTGCGTTTAAAACTATTGACATTCTTTGAGTCTTTGATCGTCTGACTGAGGGAGTTAAAATCGGAAACGGCATGATATTGTGTTCTTTGCTTCCCCCAATTTCTTTTGACACGTGGTAATCTAAAATTTCCTTTGTTACGTGTATTATGCCTATAAAGTACGTCTTGTCTAATCAATTCCGTAATGTGATTAATTAGGTCCTTGATGCATTTTTATACGTGTACACACCTTCTTTGAAATCGCCTTTTCTCTAGAGGCAGCCACTTGAGAACGGCTAATGCCTCAGTGGAGGATGAGTACAATGGTCTATTTAAAATAACTTTAGCGGCCTTATTTTGCAAAACTTGCAAACTAGACATAAGGGTAATATTATGTTTATCGACCCATACTAGATCAGCATATTCAAAAAGGGGCATAACAAGACCTTTATAGAAAAGTAAACGCGCCCTGAAAGGCAATAAATGCTTTATACGCTTGAGAGGCCCAAGCCTCTGATTGATTTTCCCAGTTAGGTGTTCAATGTGATCAGTCCATAAACGAAACAAAATTCACAAAAGCTTTTAGAAGCCATCTTACCGTAAGGACTAGAGTCCAACAGTTTATCATGGAAAGTAGAATTTGAGTTTGTTCAATTAAGTTTTAAACTGTAAAAGAAATATTAAAAACACAGCACGCGATGGAGAATTGCCCAAGATATGAAGGACTTCGGTTTGTTTGAACATGAATCTTCTCGGTGGGACACTAAATTTCTTTTAAGTTTGTTTATCGCATGGCATATTTGAAACTCTGTAAACAGCTGAAAATTGCTCATTTCTGTGCAGTAGCCAGGAGATTCATCAGCAGATGAGTTAAATTTTGTAGAATGCAGAAATATCTCACCACTTCCATCGTAAAACCATTGATTCGTGTAAAGAAATAACTATCTCAATCTTTCTGCGAATTAAATGATGTTTTCTCTCAAAATAGGCAATTTGTACTTAAATTATTGCCGGTTCGCTTTGAGCAGTACCACTAAACGTCAATTGAGATTAATCCCACTTTCTCATCAAGTTTCAGTTGTATAAGGCCGGGAGACTCTAAGAACATGTGTAATCACATGTTACCAATAAAGGCTTCCGAGCGGAGATTAAACTAAAGAATGCATCTTGAACAGGAGTAAAAGACAACCCATGTTCTCCACAAAAGCTTAGGGGCTGACCATTTAACTTTTGAAGGGGGGTGGGGTGGGTGATTTTGAAAACAAATTTCCTACAAGCGCTTGTTGGAAGAAAAAAATTGCATGCAGCCCAAATGTAACAGAAAAAATGTACCAAAAAATTGGAAAAAAAAAATCCTGCACGGCAGATTGCTAGGAAAAAAATTTCTTGATGACCAGAAATCTCCCCCCCCCCCCCCCCTCAAAAGTCGGCCCCTCAGACACCGAGTTGTTGACGTCGGCATTTTCCGGAAAACTCCGTCTTTTTCAATTAACGAATATCTCCTGTGGCTCCAAAGAGCGCAGTTTTTCAGTCTTTAATGGTAGGATATTGTTGTAACGAAACGTTGCGAAAGTGAAAAAAACGTCAATGTATACATTTAGAAGGGGATACACTTTTCGGTAATGTAATCACAAGACGTTTTCGACCTGTAAGAAAAGTTTCAACTACCTCCATCGTAAAGGGGAAAGATAAGAAGTCAAGAACGAGGATGACTAATCATTAACAAAATGAAGCCCGATTGCGAATGACAAGCCTGAAAACTTTAGGATCCCCAAGCTCTTTGCGTCGCCATAAATATCATCCGCTTCCCCTTTGTGTCAATTCTCTCTAGAAAGGTTTCATGTTTTCTAGATATGTTCCATAGTTAAATGATTCATCCGGTGATAATTATTCTCATGAGGTGGAGAGAAAAGCTACCCATGCTGTGAGTTTTGGTTATCAGTGAACTACAACTTGCGCATGTCGCATAGAATTTTCTCAATATATGTATATATGGCAATTACATCTGAAGGTTTATTCGTTTTTATGAAGTGGATATTGGCAATAACCTTACGAGAGGAAATTAATGAAAAATTTCCTAACGTCACAGTTAACTTAGTGCCAAGGTATTGACTTGTTCAAATTAATCGACATTCCAGGTCACTTCGCCAAAAAACTCACGTCATCGCCCTCATGGGCGCTATTAGCTCTGGTTATCATCTCGCCAAAAAAATATTCTGTTGATAGAGAATTTGATTTTTGAAAGATATTCTGGATTGAAAAGGTCAATTCCAAACAATTTAAAAAATGAATGGTGAGTTCAAAAGTTCAGTTACTTTCCGATTTTTTTTTCACTCGCCAAGCTAATAGTATAGTCTCATTAAATCTTATTTTCCAAAACCCCAAATGTTTGTTCTTTATTGACGTACAGTTAAGGGCAGCTATTTCATGCCTCAAGGGGTTTCAGTGAAAACCACACACGAAGAAAGAAAATATCGTATACAATTACATTTCTTTGATTAAAAAGATCTAAACGGAAATTTTAATTTCAAGTTAAAAATTAAAAAAAAAAAAATAGACATTATTAACATTGGCTTCCTCTCATATCCTCTCGTTGGTTTGTATTAGAAAAAAAGAAGGAAGTGAAGTTGTCTCATCGTGTCGCTGTTGTCAGTCTGGCATTTTGTGCGGAGCTCATAATTGGAGATATTTATCTTGGGCGAGCAAGCAAACGCTTATCATCATCATCATAATAACTTTCTCCATTTCAAAGAGCATTAGTTCGAGTTTTCGAAAGAGAAGTAGTTGATTCATCAACAAAGGAATTGAAATTTGGTTTTGCTATATCTGAAATAATTTTTCTGAGATTCTAATCTATAACCTTTAAAATTGAAAGCCGACGATCTTAAAATTCAATTTCTTAGCTTTTTATCACAATTCTATCCATAGTCCTTACAAAAACATGACTTATATATAAGTTTGTCTAGGGCAAAAAGAACCCCACGAAACATAGCGAATCACCGAGTATGGTAACAATTCGATAGCTAGCACCATTATGTAAGCAGTATTCAGAAATTCATCTCAAACATCCTTGAGAAAAAAAAACTTTCTTACAAAATGTTATATGAGTTCACTCAAATACATATTTTTAAAATGGAATCCCGCTACCTTATAATGATCGAAAAAAAAATTTGGGCCGATTCACTTCACGCAGCAATGTAATAAACAGAGAGTAAAAGATCCAAAAGTTGTCGAAACGCTCAACTGCTAGATCTTGGTTCTGGTTTAGTTGCATCGTAATTTTTTGACACTTTTGTCTGCTATTACATTTAACATCATATCAGAAATCATGCGAATAACTACTTCTTATGGTGAGTATTTTCTCACCAGAAGTTAAAATTGATACACTGCCCAAGGGTTCGTTCATGTGATTATTGCCTTGAGGGGCAGAAGTATTCGTGCAGTTGACTTCGATTCTGAATTAATAAATTATTATGTGAAACAATTTCAAATCCACCCTGGTGGTACCTATAATTTACCCTTACCTTGTTTAATTCTTTCGTCAAACTCCTAATGATCCTTTGGTTATTACGAGACTACTACGACTGGGATGGGAAATTAAAATGGTGGTGCGTCAGTCCAGTTTCTAGTATTGTTCAAACTGCCACTCTTACGGCAACATCTACAACGACAAATCCACGATCTGGCGAATGAAGAACTTAAATGGGACTTCTGGTAATTCCGATTCGTATCATTTTCCTTGTTGCATATCTGAGAGCTACCCATGGAAAACCTTCGCAACTGCTGTCTTAATTTGGATTTAAAAAAATGCGATTCCATTTATAATTAAAAGCTTTTACTGCGACTATGATTGGACTATCCACCTTTTACCTCCCATTGACGCACATACAGGAAATGATCCACGATGATTTGCCAAGGATTTATTATTTTTTTAACAGTTGATTCAAAGATTTTATGTAGCCCACAGGAAATTGTAAAGACTAGATAACTGCTTTTGGCTACCTGTCTTTGGTTTCAGTTCCGTCAGATATACTTTGTATATATCCCTTAATTAGTAAATCACATTTTGCTCGAGAGTTACAGAATAATTCCAATTTCACTCATTGAAAACTCTCGATGTTTACTTTGGACAAGAATATGTAGCCCTGCGGTGTTTTCTTTTCTATTTCAATATTGCTGACAACCATTTAACAAGAGTTACATATTATGAACATATTATTTATCATAAGCTTGGATAAAAACTAAAGAAAAAGTAGTGAAAAATCTTAAGTGCTCGCCTCATACAACACAGAAGTGCATACATTCAAAAGTACAAAATTAAGGCTAGCGAATGAAAAATCTTACTTTTTGAATGTGTCGATGAGTTGTCTTCAGTTTGGGAGGGTAGCTAGTCTAGGAACAATATGCTTACAACTGTTACAAATTTTAATCTATTTGTAACAGTGAAAGGCTGGACCAAACAGGATAGGTGTGCAAGTGGACTTAACTGAAAGAATTTTTCCTTCTTCCGATTAACATTCTGCATCAACTGTGGCATTAAATCCTTGTAGGAGATGAAACGAAGCACTCTTTTGAATGTTCACTGAAATTATCTTTAGTGACAGGAAGAGCAAAGTTTTAATGAAAAGGTGACGCTGTTTGAGCGCATAGGAAATATGGTCAAACTCTTGATAGCATTGCATCAACATCTGGCTTTTGGGAGAACGTAACAATGTTAAAACATTTTGTAATTTCTTTGGACAAAGTTGCTGCTTAGCATAAAAGAGATATCAAAATAGATGGATATTTTTTTGTCTTCGAGGTAGATCTGAACCAAACTCAATTCTGTTCATTCGTCACTCGATTAAGTGACTGTGGGAAAAATAAACAAGTGTCATTTTTTTGTAAACAATACCAGAAAATTCATACTTAAAATGTCAAATCGCTTTGCTTTATCTCTGAGGGTGTACAATGCAAATTGATTAATTTAAAAGTGTTTTCAGGCTATTTTGCTTTTCTAGCGACCGGACTTGAAAATTAAATTCTGCTGATACGCAATTCTTCAAGCGGCACAATTTATAATTAGTACATCATAAATAACACCAGCGCAAATACTGAACGAAAAAGGAGAACAGAAAAGAAGAAAGATTTCAAAGTCTTTCCAAGTATTGCCATCCATGGTTCTCTTTAACTATTAAATGTACAATCCTTATTTTTTTTTTTTTACCATTCTGCTGACATTTTTGGCAATCCCCCTGGACTCAAAATCAACTCGTACCTCCGACATGTAGCCTAAATTTCCTTATACAATTCGAAGACAGAAGCTTTCGAAGAGATTTTACCTGAACCTGTCACCACGCTCACGCCTTTAGTCGGTTCGTATGTCCATCTTGCGCTAAGCAGCTTTCCTCCTTCAGATGATGGTAAATGCAAGAAAAACGTGTGCTCTGGTGATCAGATTTGAGTGAAAAGCTCAGTAACGTTTCATTGGCGTAGGGAAGAAGAGCAAAATTGGCGTTTATTCTCCATATTTGGTATTCAGTTGATGCTTTTTACTTTTTCATTATCCAATCAAGACTGTCTGGCTATTGCGCATGCTTTGTGGAAGCCTTGTGCTGGGCATGGAATTCAATTTTCTACATGAAAAAGGACATGAGTCGTCCCAAAAGTGGAGAGTAACCCTTCCGGCTACTGGATGAAGTGAGTTGGTGCAAAGACCTTTTAAGATAAAACAAAGATTAGAAATAATTCCATTATTTTGTTTTGAGCTCGAGTCGACTATTGAGAAACTTAACTTAATTTTAACTTTGTAGTGAGCAGTTAGCGATGCCTTGATTAAAAGGATGTCCTTTTAGATGCCACTCACTGAGTTACATGTAATTCTATCCATCAAAGGTCAGAGCTCAACTATACTCAATTACCTTTTCTTTATTATCAAATAATCAAGATATTCATACTAGGGAGAATATTTAGATACCGGATAACCCCTAGTCTTTCTATTGATTTTAAACCGTCGCACAAGGATAAGCCTTTTTCCTGCCTTTATTTCTTTTGCTTTACGTCACCTGTGTCCATCACATGAAGTAGAAGGCCAATACCAATTCTAATTCTGATTCGTATTGAGTTTTACTAATTGGAAACACAGTTGTCGACCTTACTTTAAGATTTCTCAACGCACACAACAGCTGTGTAACTTCTCGTAATTTAAATTAAGATAGAGTTGCGTAATTGTTGTAAAATTTATTTTGTCAACCTGACCGAAAAAAGGTTTGTTATATTAAAACGAAAAAAAGAAGAAACACCGAGAAAAAGAAACAGCAAAAACAGCAAAGAAATAGAACTGATTGAAAGTTAAGCATTAGAGAGACGAGGACTTTTATAAGTTACTAATATTTTCATCCTCTTCTTCTCGACTTATTTGATGTCTGTGCTGGCTGTTTTTGCGTAGCAGTTCGTATCATTACTGATGTTTCGTAATTCCGGCTATGTTTCAAGGAAAAAGAAAATTTAGGCTCTTGATCCACTTAATTTCAGTCGAATAGCAGCCAACTATTTAATGCCAATTGTTCCTATTTTCTGGTCGAATTGCACGACGCCTCTCGAGCTCCATTCCAAAAGCCCTTTCAGGTAGTTTTATCAAAATTCTTCTCATCTCGTCACTGCGATAGGCGTACACAAGCGGGTTTACTGCACTGTTGCTGTAATGCATCCATTTTATGAAGTCCATTAGTCGCATGAAACCTTTTCCTCTTCCACCGCCAAGTAGACTTGAACTTTGAAAAATCCAGAGCAGGGACACCACGAAAAATGGAAGCCAGCAAGCTAAGAACAAGGCAGTCACAATGACCATCGTTGGGGCTGTTCGTCTTTCTTGTTGAACCCTTTTAGCCAGGATCGATGTCATGGCCTTTGCTCTTCGCCAGTGTGCATTCATGTTCTTCACACCCACGTAGATACTACTGTACATGCCAATGAGGACGATGAGGGGGAGAGCGAAGCCTGCCACAAAAACCAGGAGGCCACGATATTGTTCCCATGTTGGGCTGAAGTCTACTGAGTAAATGCTTGTGACCAGCACGGAGTAGATCCACGTGATGAACAGCATTTTGTAGTATCGCTTGTAGGAGCTCGCTCGGTGCTGAACGGGCCAACAGATGGCAAAGTATCGTTCAATACTTATGGCTATAAGGTTTGATGTGGATGCTATTGCACTAAATACGTCGAACGCTCGATAAAAGATTCCCACATGGGCGCTTGGTAGACCGCATCTTTTGAAAGAGGGGCAGGAAAGATGGTAGATCCACAATGGAATTGAAACTGCACCAACCATCAAATCGGACACAGCCAGACTGACAAAGAACATGTTGATAGCAGCTCGGATTCGTATCTTCTTGAAGGCGACAATAACAAAAGTGTTTCCAGTGATAGTTAACAAAGAGAGCAAGACATAGAGTGACATGAAGATGAAGACTTCATTCATGGGACGGAATGATGTGTTGCTTGATACCTTTTCGTCCAAGCGAGTTGTGTTCTCCATCTTTTCAGCTTCCCCAGCAGCTTTGTGATTTAAAACTAGTTTCAGCGAACGGATATTTGAAAGCCCCGCATTAACTCTTGTCTATTAGGAACTTGGCATTTGAGAAAACTATACTTCTAGTGTCTCTTTGTTACACATTTGGACAATTTATCGGGTTTATATTGGTGCTTTATCCAATGAGCAATGGACTTTGTTATATGTTGACTAATGAGGATCTACGTCAAACTCATTACATCAAATTTGCTGAAGAAACAATTTCTGGGTCAGAAACATAATTGTAAATTGCATATATCCTCATAGCTAAGTCAGACGTCATGAGCTCTTGCCGCATATCGATAAACATTGCATGTGAAATAAGGTACGTTTGTATGACACGAGATGTCGACTTTTAATTGGTAAGTAACAAGGAGCAAAGGTTTGCTTAATAATTACTCAACACCGCTCTAGGTGTAATGAAGCCAAATCCGGTTATCCCGAACTAAAAGAACTCAGAAGCAATATTTCTAGAATAATGACATAAAAACCTGACCAACTTGAGCACTTCATGGCCTGCGTTGTCCGGTTTCTTTTCACGAAAAGTTTTATTTTTAAATAAGATCGTCATAAGCGTGAGAATTACACAGCTGTCGCTTATCTGTTTATGTCATTAGCCGTGCATGGGGTAACCTCCAGCTGAAGCGTGTACAATTTCTACCGTACATGGTCTTCTTTAGAGTGCTGACGGGTCAGATTTCCTTTGGATTAAATAACTACCAGCGATATCTAAATGCTTCCCCTCGGGTGGTTAAGAAATAGGCTTTCTTCATCTCGTTGCAAGTGCGTAGCTAAGACTGGAAAAGCAATTAAAAATTGTCACTTATTAGCGGTGACTCTGTGTCCATAAAAGTAGTATACAGCTGCCACTTTTTAAGAGACCTGCACTTAGGTATTCATTCTTCCCGTTTAGCAGGACAACAGGACAACCTCTGACATTATATTGAGATAGTCGGAAAATACTTGATATCCTTGATTCAAAGCAAACTTGTGATCCTATGCTCTTGATCTTGATGAATCGTTGAGAACAGGTTTGAACTCACAAACCGCAATTAAATCTTTTCCAAAAATCAAGGTGATTTTCCTAATTGTTAAACGTTTCTTTATAAATTATATTTTGATAGCTTTTTAAATTTCTTACGCATGGACCTAAAGTTCTATTGTCATTGTCCCATTCATTCAAAGGAAAACTATTAACCAACTTATCGAGGGCGATCATGAACGCTTATTGGAATAGCAATAATGTATGCTCTGTTTTACCGCGGCTTTTGTTCAAATCCTTAATTAAATTTGCCAAAAACAGCTTCAGCGTAAGCGACTAGATAGCTACCTTAAGTGGCCTTGACATGAAAACCATCTTTTCAATCAGAAATGAATTCGAATTAGAAGAAAAAAAAGGAAAAGAAAAAGGATTACAAAGTATACGGTGTCATCTGCAGTTTATATTTCAGTACAAAGCTAAGAACAGTTCTCAAACTATTGATAGAAACCGCGACAAAAACTTTCAGAAGTGGATACCAGCTTTTTGATCCATTCCTCTTAAATCATAACACAATGTCTGACACTTTTATCCCAAGGTCCATCTGGAGAGAATGACGTTAATTTCGGCTATGGCGGATCCCACTCATCGACCAAGGAAGCAGTTGGAAGTAGAAGTCTAGTCCATTTTTATGTTTTCCGGCGCGGTTACCAGTTGGGTGATTAGAAAGAGACGAAATGTCGCGAGAAATATAAGGAATGTAGCGACAGTAAAGAAGAATTTCCTACCGGGATAGCAAGAAATGTTCTCTGTGTCTTTCTCGTCTGGTTCCTCAGACAACTTGATGAAATACGCTGTCATAGTGATATATTCTTGAGAAAGTATAGCTTTTCTTTGGCGATCAATCATTGATCAATTGAAATCGTTAAGGCTGTTCACATTGCTATATGAAGATCTAAATTTTAAAAGAATGTCTGTGACTTCAATATACCACAACAGCCTTAGCTATTAACTGTGCCATTCAGTCCTCGTACGATTTCTCCTTCCATATAAAAGAAATCAAGCCACAGATGAACAACTCGAATTAATTCAAGGGCTGGATAACAAAACGGTTGTATCTAAATTTTCGAAATATCACAGCTGAAAAGCTCTGATTTGTCATGCGTTTCTCTATAAAGCAGGTTCCACAGGTAGGTCAATTGCAAGGTGTCAGACGGAGATCTCTTGTCAAGTTTAGAAGAATAAATTAAACAGTTCGTTTTGGCTGAAAGTAATTGGAACTGTCAGGTTCAATTTCTAATCTTACCTCTCTCTATCAACTTGAAAATTAGAATACATATATCTGACTGCTAATCAAAGCGCTCCGTATCTTGATCAAGAATAATTTATTTTTAGCACGGTTAAAACTCATTAGCCTCGATTACGCAGGAATGTATCGGTTGAACGCATCGTTCATCATTCCTACCATGTTCATGTAGTCCAGGACCCTTAGGATGAACAAGAGACGAGCGATACTTAGCTGTAATAGAGATTAAACAGACGTTTCGTATGATGCACGATCCTGAACTTCATATATTTATTCGCGATGCACGATCATGAACTTCATATATTTATTCTATCTCAAACAGACGTTCGTCACATGCATCATAATTCTTTCTGTCGTTTTAAGTAATCGTAGATCAAGACCAGAATGTCTAAGCCCCTCTTATAAAGCACCAAACATTGCATTGTAATTCATCCCATAGCAAACTATCCCCATCTTTTCTTATTGGACGACGTTATTTTGAATTGGTCAATCAGACGTGACGGTTTTTAGCTGGCACATGAGAATCTTGCTACGCATCCCAGGCGCTCAAATACTGTGGGATTTTGATTTTCTTCGAGGGCTAGCTCCGGTCCGTTTGGATGGATGTTCGATTGGAAGGTACGAGGAGAATCGTGCATCTTTTGACCTTAATACTGCGAAGTTTAAAAGCGGAGCGATGCGATTTTTTGGGGAAAAATCGCTTAGGCGCTTGTACCCTTTCAAAACAAGGCTTCCACCCTTGTCTTTCTTTTATGCATTACATTAACGACGAACTCAGACTTATTCAAAATCGCTAAAAAAACATTTTTGAGGCAAAAGGACGACTATACACCACAGGTAAAGTAATTCAACGTTTATTTATCAATGATTTATGTACATAGTGAGCAATATATCACTATAGGTGAGGCAAACGGTAAGTCTGGTACATTCACTATAAAACAACATTCGGCTACACAAACAGAGTGTACGGGCCCCTTGTGGTGAGACCACTCCTGATCTTTTTGAAACTGAATCAAAATTCCGCTTTCTCCGAAGATAATCCACACAATCTGACGTTATTTGGTCTATTTTACTTCATGCAACGGATTCAAGGACCCTGCGGTGGATTCGTTCATTGTTGGTGAGTCTAACATGTCGTGATAGTTATGGTTCGTTGGTTCAACAGCACTTTACGAAATAACGGGATATCTGATGGACTGGCGCGAGTAATAAGTTAGAAGTTCAAGGCCACTCGCACAAAGCATCAGCTTTAATTCAAGTGGTTATGAACAGTTTAATATCTCAGAATGACATTTCAGCATAACCCAATTGGTATCACATTTTTCTTCAGTTTCGGTTGATTCTGATTACGCCACGGATCCAACTTTAGATAATTCTAACTTTCACCGCCATTGCTTCCGTGGCTCCATTGAAATCCTTGTTGTGTCAATGCAAAACACCCATGTTGTTGAATATCAAAATAGTTTAAGATTTCTAGTTTGCGATTTTACAACAAAATAAAAACATTTTCTGGGTGTAGAACTAGCTTTAAATTTACCTTGCTAGACGGCTTGGCAACACCTCGTACATTATTAGAATGTTTCCCTCATTCTACATCGATCTTTATCGCCTGAGCGCTTTTTTTTTCTCCAACTCCAACCATTCACATCAGTGACTTATCACGTAAAAGCTAGTTAGAGAATGAGTGAACTTTTTACTAAAAAACAGATGTTTATCCAAAAATCGAAAGAAGTCTTCGGCCACGGTTACATCCTGCTTCAAAGTTCTGTCGGCATCAATCTATCACGATCAGTTGTGAGCAAGAGAAACATTTATAAAACTTTATGCGTGAACATTATCCGTTATCTGATTTTAGCCCGTTCTCACGGCGGGTTAAAAAAACAGCGGTATGTATTTGTTTACATATGGTCTTCCATCGTTTGTTATCTGATTCTAAGAAACTGAAATTTTCCCTCACGAGGTGCAACGTTTGATGACAACAGCCCACGCCTTTAAACTTCATACTCGATACTACGAATGATAATTACTAAAACTGATATTTACTTTTTGGAACTGCACATGAGACTTCAGAAATGCAAGCTTCAACTGGGCTCGAACACGAGTCTGCTAGATGATGATTACGATAGGCGCTATTTCCGAGCCAGTTTCCATAAAGATTTCATTTATTTTCTTTACTCAAAATCTACTTTAGTGCAGTGATTAATTCTTCACTCAGCATCCGTTGATTGAGTATAATTTTATTCATGTATATTTTTTGAATTTTTTTTTTTTATTTTTTTAATAGGAAAAGAGATTTAAAATGGCTTCTTGCTCTGATATCTTTCCTTTATTGATGGTCATTCAATAGACATGGTATAATATTTCATCAGTACTTACTTTCGGGAGACGGTTAAATGATGCCTTCAAGTTTTGGAGTTCTGCGACAGAATATCCTGAAAACAGATAAATTAAAAAACAAAAAACTGAGTAGCATTGGAACAGTGATCGATTTCTCAAAACGTTCTCATGTTGCACGAACGAAGTCAGCACCATATTTCATTTACGCAATCTAAAATTTGTGAAAAAAGTCTAATTGTGTCAAAAACTGTTGATGAGGAGGAAAAATTTGAGGAAGAAAGTATTGACAGCTAACCTTAAGCCGATAAATTAGCAAGTTTCTGAGTCAAGATCAGCCGCTGAAGTCAAATCTGGATGCCAAGTAGAAGTTTGTTTCAAAGTAGTCGTAACGAGGCATGAAACTTCTTTGAATAGGTGTTATTTAAAGATTCTGATGGGAGACAAGTTTCATTTTCCAACACGATTTACTCGTTTGGCTGAGTCGAAAATGACGCGTAATTTTTTAATTACAGATTTTCTGAGGTAAGAAATTTGAAAAAAGGTCAAACTTTGCCATGGTATAGTTGCTAAGGTAAAAGTAAAGAACTGCTAAAGACACCAAGCGGCTGTCCATGAGCTAAGACTTACGGCTCAATCAACAATTTCAGCGACTCAATCGGCCATCACAATTTATGTTTATTTCAGCTAATTTCAAAACGCTTTTATTTTTTTTGTCAACTTGTTGCTTAACAGTTAAAAAAATTAGCATGGTAGCGTCTACTATTCCAGTTATTAGTGGTGAACGGTTGTCTAATGTTATGATAACTCGCTACAAACAGCAACACATATATCCCTCGGCGAATGGTCAACTGAGCCATCGACAAGTAGATTAATTTTTCAAAGAAGAAACTTGTCAGCAGTATTTATGATTTGAAGACAATTGTGCCACACCAAAAAGATCCATGAAAATTTCCATGTAATACCCATTTGCGCGTAAAAAAATAATTTCAAACACCCTTGGCCAAAACGGGTCCATGGAATTTTCTATGTACATGTTATACTTACTCGGGTATGCAAAACAGTATCAATCATCCTTAATCAAAACGGGTACATAGAATTATCTATGTAATACTCATTTACGCGTAAAAATAAAAAAGACAGTTTCAAACGTTCTTAGCCAAAACAGGTACATAGAAATTTCCATGTAATACTCATTCACGTATCATTAATTGTAAATTGTGTATACTCTCATAGCTGAGCCAGCCCATGAGCTCTTGCCGCATATCGATGAACATTGCATTTGAAGTAATGTCTGTTTGTATGACATGAGATGTCGACTTTTAATCGGTAACAATGAGCAAAGGTTTGCTTTAAAATTGCTTAACATTGAGCTAGGTGTAACGAAGCCAAATCCTTGGTTTAAAATCCATCATAGAGAACAGGTTTCGACTCACAAACCGCAATGAAATCTTTTCCAAAAATCAAAGTGATTTTCCTAATCATTTGATTTGATATCTTTTTAAATTTCTTACCTATGAACCCGAAGTTCCATTGTCATTGTGCCATTCATTGAAAGAAAAACTATTAACCAGCTTGTCGAGGGCGATCATGAACGCTTATTAATTGTAATAGCACTAATGGATGCTCTGTGTTACCGCGGCTCTCGGTCAAATCCTTGACTACATTTTCCAAAAACGGCTTCAGCGTAAGCGACTAAGTAGCTACCTTAAGTTCACCATGACATGAAAATCATCTTTTCAATCAAAAATAAATTCGAAATAGAAGAAAAAAAAAGGAAAAAAAGGATTAGAAAGTGTACGGTGTCTTCCAGTGCAGTTGATATTTACAAAGCAAGGAACGGTTCTCAAACTATTGATAGAAACCGGGAGAAAAACTTTGAAAAGTGTCTGCCAGCTTTTTGTTCCATTCCTCTTAAATCATAACACAATGTCTGAGAGTTTCATCCCAAGGTTCATATCGGGAGAGAATGACGTTAATGTCGGCTATGGCGGATCCCACTCATCGGATCCCACTCATCGGATCCCACTCATCGGATCCCACTCATCGGATCCCATAGCAACTCACTGACCACTGAAGGAAGCAGTTGGAAGTAGAAGTCTAATCCATTCTCATCTTTTCTGGCGCGGTTACCAGATGGGTGATTAACAAGAGACGAAATGTAGCGAGAAATATGTGGACTGTGGCAACAGTAATGAAGAATTTCCCACCGAGATGGCAAGAAATCTTCCCTGTGTCTTTCTCGTCTGGTTCTTTAGACAACTTGATGAAATACGCTGTCATTGTGATATATTCTTAAAAAAATATATAGTTTTTCTTTGGCGATCAATCATTGATCAGTTGAAATCGTTAAGGATGTTCAGTTTGCTATATGAAGATCTAAATTTGAAAAGAATGTCTGTGAATTCAATATACCTCAACGGCCTTAGTTATTAACTGTACCATTTCTTCCTCTACAATTCAAATAAATCATGATCAAGTCACAGGTGAACAACTTGAATTAATTTAAGTTCTGGAAAGCAAAACGGTCGTATCTTAATTTTCTTAATTTTCGAAATATCACAATTAAAAAGGTCTGATTTGTCATGCGTTTCTCTACGAAGCAGGTTCCACAGGTAGGTCCATTGTAAGGTGTCAAACGGAGATCTATTGTCAAGTTTAGAAGAAAGAACATTACGTTTTCGCCGAAGGTGATTGGAACCGGCGGGTTCGATTTGTAATCTTACCTCTCTCTGTCAAATTTAGAATAAACATATCTGACTGCGAGCCAAAGTGCTCCGTATCTTTCTCCAAAGTAATTATTTTGAGCAAGGTGAAAATTCGTTAGCCATGAATACACAGGAATGTATCGGATGAACGCATCGTTCATCATTCCTACCATGTTCATATAGTCCAGGACCCTAAAGATGAACAAGAGACGAGCGATACTTTGCTGTAATAGGAATTAAAGAGACGTTCGTCACATGCATCATGATTCTTTCTGGTGTTTTAAGCAATCGTACATCAAGACCAGAATGTCTAAGCCCATCTTATAAAGCGCCAAAAATTGCATTGCAATTTATTCGTTAGAAGCCGCAATATGGAGAGTTCTCGACCCCTTGTTTTCATTCGACCCAAATTAAGATTCATCCCATAGCAAACTATTCCCATCTTTTACATTTACAGGAGTCAAAATGTTGCCAGAGTATTATCCAAAACTGAAAGTACTTCACATCGAGTTTTACAAAAACAAGATTTTATAACACAAAAAGTTCCAGTCTTACCATGCCTCAGTGAGTCTACCAGGTACCTGTAATCATAACAAAACATTTCTAACCAAGAAAAACTTGTCTGCGACTTTGTTAAGTTCGTATACCCCGGCTTTTCTCCGCGTAGTTAAATCAAACGACGGTTAAAGCTTTATCCACTAACAGTATCACACAGCGGAGAAAAATCATTTGTGAGTCAAAGTGTCAAATTTTTGGTTAAAAGAATTTTGAAAGTAGCTGGCGAATATTGAGGTACGTATTAGTCTCTTGGTCGGTGAGACCACTCCTGATCTTTTTGAAACTGAATCAAAATTCCGCTTTCTCCGAAGATTATCCATACACTCTGACGTTATTTCGTCTATCCCGTTTAGCACTAGGTTCCATATGATGATAATGCGTAAAAGTCAAGACGCTGAGAGAGTGACGCACGAAAGAACTGCTTAAGGATCACATGATCACAGTAGAGATAACCCATGCGAATCCAGATCCTTCCTCGCTCAACAGGATCCAGCAGAGACTTCTACAAGATCTGTCTTGCCGTCTTTATCGTCATCTACGTATTTTTGTGGTTATCAAAGCCTGTAGTGAAAAACGAGCTGGACTTGGCAAGTCACAAAACACCCATTCGGATACGAGATATGGTTGCCGTAGATATTACGGCCACAACGGTTGGAAATGAGTTCCCGAGCAAGGAAGTTGCTGATTTCCTCAAACACTGGTGTCGACAAAGACGAGCTAGATGGGATTGGCGGGCCATGATTTTACCATGTATAAACAAAATGCCATGGAACTCGTCAAGAGAGATTGAAAAAAATGCCACCGATGCAAATACAAGCTTTATATCACTGTGGGATATTAGGCCCGCCGGGCAATACAGCCGTTTTAGCATCCAGTCTCAGACAAAAGAGGGTCGTCCCAAAATTGAGGGTGGCGACTCTTGGAGGGTTATTATAAGGGGATCTTCCTCTATTTCTCCAACGGTTATCGATCACGGAAATGGAACATACGAAGTTTCGTTCCTTGCAGTGGAAGCAGGAGTCTACAGGGCAAATGTGAGTTTGGAATTCACGTCATGCAATGGATTCAAGGACCCTCCGGTTGATTGGTTTATTGTTGGTAGGTCTGAGATGGGTTTCACTTGCTATTATGTATGTATTTTACATATTAATATTCAAGAATGGCTCGTTCGCCGCAACAAACTATGCTCAGTGAATGTTTTAAGGAGGAACAAAATATGTGCTAGTGTTGACTAACTCAGAAGAGGTTTGTCAACATGAGATATTGAGCAACCACTCATAAAGATCCGATCGCTTTTTTCCTTATTCCCAAGGCAATGCACAAGGAAAATATCAGCGGCATCCAGAAGTTGATGGAAACAAGGACTATCTTCAAGCGCCGTTACGGGGTGGGAGTCCTGTGGACTTAGTGGTCCCTCCTGCTAAGAATGGTAAGCTTCTGAGTTTTCTAGAAAAATTCAATTCGGTGGTGCAGTTTAATTCTATTGCCGATCTTTTCTAACATTGACCTACTTGTCACATATTAGTTCACAATTCAGGAAGTAGTGAACTCCCAACTATCGTATTGTTTACCCCTTTTCATAAACGTAACTATTTGGTGCAGTATGGTATTGATTGCATCAAGGGAATACTACCCAACTTTCTGACCAAGTTTTGTTAAGGAACCTGTTTTCAATTCCAAGCAATTTACCCAATGCTCTTAAAATCTGTAAGCAATATTCTACTGCTCATATGAGGCGGTTTTTGCTTAACTAAAACTGTTTATTCACTCTGTAAGCGCAAGTTTCCAGCATATCGAAGGAAGCCATGGGTAGAGAAAGTTGTGAAATCAAATGCAACTTTCTGTGGGACGGATATGGACGATGGGTGCACAATACTTGGAAGCCACATATCAAAGGTAACTAGTATGATGTACGAATCAACCTTAGCTTTCCTTTAGATGCTCCTTTCATGAGCTTGTCAAACCGGAGGAGCAAGGAGACGCTAACCAGCAAAGTAGGTAGGCAATAACCTTTTCTGAGCAAAGGTTTGGTAAGGCAAAGTTAAAGGTTTTTTTTTCTTTTCTTTTTTTAGAAATTATTAGCACGCGACCCATTGGCAGAAAAAGGGGCACTTTGTGGGTTTATGGCGATTCTGTCAACGTTTTCTTTGCCCATTCACTGATGCAAAGAAGAATTTGCAGAGACCTTTTCAAACGATGTAATTTCAGTTACAATTGGATTTATCCCGTCAATAATGTTACAGCTGCTAAAAGACAATTTGATAATTTGGATTACAACAATGAAAGAGTTTTGGAAAACTTTCGTCGCATTGTCTACGATCCTCAAATGGACGAAAACAGTGCCATTATACTAAACTTTGGGCTACATTTCGTTGAAAGCACGAACTTTACGAATTACAAGAAACTCATCGTTGGCTTGGTGAGAGTGTTGAAAAATGATCTGATATCGAACGGGACGAGGAGGATATATCGTGGAACGGTTATCTGGAAAGCAACCACAGCTATAAACAAAGAAAAAGCAAGTAATACTCATCTTGGACATAAAAGATTTATTACACAGCAGGCAAGTGGACTTCGAGCTGTCTGTAAAACCACTGCTATCTTCTTCTATGCATTTCTTTCCTTTGGTATTTCAATCTCCATTGATGACTCGCTGAAATGAAATGAACGGGGTCTTGGGAAAGTCTCTAGTAGATATCTCCGTTCATTTCATTCAAACGCGACAAAAACATAGGCAATTTTTTGGTCAGAAGTTCTTTTGAGACTAATGACCAACCAGGCCACTTTTAAATGCGCTCGTGCACGATGCAAAACGTGTCCTTTCATTCACAACACTGATAAAATATCGGGACCTAAACGATCCATTAAGATCACCGATCACTTCACGTGCACCTCCGCCAATGTAATGTATTGCATAACTTGCACTTATTGCAAAAAGATATACATCGGCGAAACAGGCAGAAGACTAGGTGACCGATTCCGAGAACACCTGCGAGACGTGGAAAGGAATGACAAGGACACATCGAAAGCAGTCGCTTGACATTTTAATTTACCTAATCATTCTAAGCAATATATGGCAATCTGCGGTCTCTCCTTACACTTAGGTAGCACGGAAAGCCGTCAAAATCTTGAAAAAAAAGCTCATCTTTCAAACCGGCAGTCTAAATCCCACAGGGATCAACGAACGCTTTTCATTCCACTAATTTACTCTTGTTTTTCTCGTTCCCATGTTCCCACCAATAACGTAGCTCCATTTTCTGCCTTTAAAAGCACACACAACCCACAATTCCTCTATTCGCTCCGACGAAGGGCTAACGCTCGAAACGTCAGATTTTGTAATCGTTACGGTGGCCAATTTACCATTTCAACTTTGTTGATATATCCAAATTATTTCTCTAGTATACACACTGATTGTGACTTTGGATTTTTTGCTATAGTTGTGCTTGCTTCTACTTATTTTCATTTTCACCGTTTCCATCGTCGTCGTCGTCGTTTTGTTTCTACCATTTATGTCTGATAACTGATACTTATCTTTTTTGTATTGCCCTTATAGCGCGTTTTGCTGTACAACTCCTATGCTACTACGCAGATGTGTAGAGCTGGGTTTCTCGTCCTCGATGTCTTCCCTATAACAGATTCTTATCCGCAAGGAACTGGAACTCACGGAGCCCATGGACCTGTCAAGAACGACATCGTGCACTATAGCAACCTCGCTTTTAGGCCTGCAGAGGAGTTAGTAGAAGAATATTTTGGTGGAAAGTAACCCTGGAAACTGTTAGAAACTGCAAAAATTGATGGCACTAAGGAGATCCAATGAGCTATTCTTTAACTGCAACTAGATACGATATTGCAAAATGATTGACATTGAAACCTGTACTTTTTCATGATATATGGACTACAATGACCGCCAGATATGTTTCTCATCACTGAAAAATAAGTTTAAAGGTAGAACTGATATCGGCATGCGCAGTGAGAAAACTACGTTCCTTTCTGTGTAAAATGCATAATGTATTCTAGCGCGCTGATTGGGAAATAATGATTCCGGACCCCATGGAGGATCATAAATCTGTACAGAAAGGTTTTAATAAACTAAAAAAAAGCCATTAACTATAGATTGTTTCGAGAAATGACTGTAAAAAAGGCTCAGTATCAGTAGGTTCCTTAAAAAGAAATTAGGGAATTTCATTAGGAAGAAAAAATGATAGAAAGGTAATTCAAAGACTGACTAGCACCTTAAAAACTCGAAAGGATCACGGAAGGCAATTATATTTTACTAAGGAAAATTGACTCAAATTTGTTATTAGGTGAATCAGATAAACCCTAAGGATCTCAGAGGCTACAGAGGAACAAAAAATGTAAATACAAAAACCCGGTTTTCTTGAACTCAAATGAATCTAAAAGGAAGAACTAATATTTTGCTAAAACTTTCTGTTTTTGAAATAAAGCTCCTGAATAACTTAGTTTAGTAAATCGTGTTTATCAAAAGATAAATTCGATTTGTAAGTCTTTGAACTCTATCATTTTCACATACATTTGAAAGTTGGATTCTGAATTTCGGAAAGTTTGAATTTCATATCAAAAATTTTTTTCGACCAGTTCTTAATTGCAAAGCACAGATCTCATTGTGAGCAGAACTTAAGAACACTTGGTGCATTTCCATGCAGGTTGTCAAATTAAAATGAATAACGGTCATAGTTAATAGAAACATGATCAAATAACCTCAACAAGAGGATCAGATCAATTTCCCTTTGATTGCACCCTGAATGTTTTTTACATTTCATTTCATTTCATTTCATGATGGATCCAGCATATTCGACTGAATGCGGTCGTTTCCGTTAAATCTCCATGGCTGTCTCAGTTGTTCGTAATTGCACAAAATTTTTTATGACAAAGTGTCTTTTTAGCTCAGATTAATATTCAAAGATGCCGTGTGCCATTCCATATTATTAAGCAGATTTAAAAACCAAAAGTTTATTGACGGAAAAACAAAGTCTTACTCTAAAAGCCGAACATCGCATATTTTCATCACTGTAGCAAAACAAAGTAGATTATTTTTAGTAATCATGTATAAATGTAAAAGGAAAGTCTTAACAGTATATTTTTCGTGCATTCAAAACATTTTCTGACATGATTTACGATCTTTTAGACTTTTAAAAGTCAACTGCGATGTTCAGTTCATTCAAAAGGCTGAGAAAATTTCGCTCTTTATTTTTTTAAAATTAGAAAAGAATGCTTCGAATTTTCATAACCATTTGAAATTTCATTTTTCTTATACAGAGTTAGATGTTATGAGGTCTTTGGATATTTCCACAATACAAAATAATTTAATTTAAAATAATTCAATTTTTGAAATTTCATTCTTTTATACACAGTTAGATGTTATGAGGTTTTTGGACACTTACAAAGTCAAAATAATTTAGGTAATAGCTCAAAACACATTTCCCATGTCGGAAGCCATAACTGTGATGAAACCATTGTCTTGAGGAAAAGCAGGAGACAAACACATCAAGGAACACGCGCAGATCAAGGTTCATTTCCTTTCACCTATCACTAACGCACGCAAACCTATTTCATTAGTAAAGTAATTGCATAGTAATCATTCAAAACAGACCGAATGTCTATGGAAACACTGTACAATTTGGACTTTGCGATGGTAAATGATTGCTACTGAAAAATGATCTTGCCAGAAAAGTAGAAACCGAATGAACTGTTTATACTGCGAAAGGGGAATTGTGATTGATGGTTGTGAAGAACTTTCAAGATGTGGATATTTTTATTAAAATACTCGGCCGCGGTGACATTTATAAATCAGGTGGTACTATTCAAATACTGCATGATTCACAAATTGGTTATTCCATATTAACATAGTTGAAGAATTGCGACTGTTGCTTTAAAACACGTCAAATTGATGTAAACGAATTTGTTAGAGCCATGCCGGCATAGATGAGTGATCTTGGCTCGAGTTATTTTGTCGTCGTCATGAGTAAAACTCAAAAGACCACCTTAACTCTTCGAAATGGACAGAATGAGTCTGATCGAAACTCGTTGGAAAAACTTGGAATTGGAATGACAGCAGGGACTGTGGTTAATTTATTTCTTATACTAATCATCGTGGTAGGAAATGTTCTTGTCATTGCAGCTTATGTAAAAAATCGCCGACTTCACACTGGTACCAATGCACTTATTGTGAGCCTTGCCTTCTCTGACCTCCTTGTAGGAAGTGCCTCCCTGCCAATCCGAATCTATGGCTTGATAATGAACTGGAAAGTAAGTGTCATTACCATGGCATTTTACGTCACTGTTGACATCTTCAGCGCCCTTGTGTCAAACTTACACCTCATGGCGATATCCTTTGAGCGTTTCGTAGCCGTTTCAAGACCGTTTTATCACCAGACACTCTCCATCAAACCGTATGCGTTTGCGTCGACGTTGTCGTGGATCTTAGGAATTATCGTCGCCTCGTCACATCCTGGAAATTATTTGCGAAACAAAGACGAACAAGGGCTTAAATTGAAGATTCTCGAAGTATACTCTGCACTATTGTTTACCGTGTGCTTTTTGGGCCCGTTACTGATAATTATTTTTGTAAACATAGGAATCTTCCGTGTTGCACGAGTTTTAATCCATTGTGCGCCATCACGGAACGGGAGCTTCAAGCAACGAGTCCGTAAAGAGCGCAAGGCTGCATTCACTCTGCTCGTAATGACAGGATTCTTCTTCGTTGCGTGGACGCCGTTCTTCGTTTTAAACATGTTCTATGTCTATTGTGTTCAGTGTCTCCCTTCTTCGTCTAACGTCCAGTATGTAATGGTAGACGTTATGAAGTGGCTACATTATTCAAATAGTGCAATCAACCCCGCCATTTATGCCTTTCGTGATGCCGAAATGCGCCGAACCTTCGTCAGACTTTTGGGTCCCCTTAGGAGACTTTGTAGAGGTGGTCGTGTCGAGCCGGAATTTCCAAATACACAAGAAGTTCTTGATCTGCACACTCGAAATTAAAAAAGGATATCCCTGATGTCCAATTTTAATGAAATCAATAACTAAAGATCCAAAACCAACCAACAAACTAAAGAAACACTTCGCTCCTCGTCATTCCAAGGAAATTGTTCTCCACATTACAACCCTGGCCATGAAAACAGAAATTAATCTATACGGAGCACAAGATATGAGATTCGATTTTATTTCAGTCCAACTCTTTTGAATTATGTTAGGAAAGCGCGACTGCCGCCTTCTGAGTTAAACTGGCTTGGCAACACAGTGCTCGGTTCAGACAAAAATCAAACGGGAAAAAAGCATGTTAAACTTTGGGAAGAAAAAATAATAAACCAAAGTTCCCTTGATATTTACGAGAAAAATAAGAGTTTTCTGAAGTGAATACTGGGAATTCTAGTTCTAAGCTGAATTAATAAGTTCAAGCATTACACAAGGCTTAATCGTAATTACACTGTGCAATAGTAGCTGAGCCGTAAGAGACAGTGTCAACAATTTTTTCACATCAGCATAAGAAAAGCAATTCTTACACTTTAATTGATTCTTTTCAAATTCAAAAGCTCGTTAATGGTCATGTTACGTAGTATGACGTGATTACGTAATATTAAGCCCCTTGAACTGACACTCGATCTACGCTTTCGTTTACCATTTGTGCGTTTTTGTTTTTGAATCTGTTTATATAGTGATTTCTTTATTTTATGTGTTTATTTATTAATATTTTGTTTTTGTCTTATTTCATTCGAATTTCTTTTTACTCTTTCGGCTCTGTTTTATTTAAAAATTTTTAAAATTCTTTCCTTTACATTCTTACTTTTGATGTATGCATATTGGCTTTAGGGTTCAAGGAACCGACGACTGTTACCTCTTTAGGCTGACAGTCATTAGCCTTTTCTTTTCGTGGGCGCGGTGATTTATGCTTTGTCCTGCAGTTACCTTTTGGTGACTGTGTATCAAAAAAAAAACAAAAAAAGGGAGAGAGAAAGAGCAGTTTATTAAATCAAATTGAATATACCAAGCCGAACTGATGTCGCTGTTGTTGTATTCCTTCATTGCTTACTGATCATGCAAATACCTTGTATGAAATAGAAATGTAATTTCGCGGAAAAAGTGATAAAATTCGGATAGAAATAACAATAGTAATAAAATATCATCGGTAATCCGGAGGTTTTTGGTTAAATTCCTTGTCAAGAACGTAGAGATTTACTTTTCTTCCTACTAGTGATAGATAAAGCTGATCGATATGTTTGAAAAATAAATTAACATTCTAGCCCTCCTAATGAAATATGAAAGTAAGGCCATCTTCGAGATGGTCTAGGCCTCTTGCTTTTAAAAAATTTCTCTCTCTCTCTCTGTCATAATTAAAACTCATTTTCGCAAGAAATGGTTTTGTGTTGGCACTCAATGAGGAAAGGTTTTTTTTTTACACTCAAAAACGGCCTGTTCATTAGACTGTATTTACATTAGCATGTGCACTACATAGAGAAGTCGAAAGCATAGAAATAATAAATTGAGAAATGTAGTTCGCATCCGCTTGGATAACCTCTTCGAAACTGGTTAAAAAGTAGGTTAGGGTATACACTCTTTTCCTATACAGAATCAAAGATCGAGAATTGTTTTATTTTACAAATCTCTCGATCTTCATTTTATTGCTTTCAACCTTTTATTGATAAGGACATTTGTGTGTTAAAAATCTGTTCTGAGATTGTTTATATGCCCCAGGAAAATATTCTTTATTATTACTAATACTGTGGCACGAAAAAACTTGTTGTTTTAGATAGAGTGTAAAAATCGAACTTTTGTAACTTATGCTTTACCACAATGATATAGATTCAGACCGTTCTTATAAATTTTGGATCTCAATCTACTCAGCCAGCTACTTAATTTGCGTCTTTGTTCTTAGTGGTAACCAATGGATGGTTCATGACTGTATCTTGTGTTTAGCGTAGGACGAAAAAGTAATCGAAGTTCTGACACTTGCGTTTTGATTTATTTGTATTTCATTAAAAAATGACTTTTGGTATCGCTTTTCCACATTTTTATTTCATTTAATCGCAAGACAACTCTCAACAAAATGGTTTAAATATACATTTAGACAACTGAAAACATTTCCAAATATCTCTACACTTACTTGTAACTCCGGATCCCTGTTTTTGAACTGTTTTCTGTTCACTAGCCTCATGGGCGAAATCAAAGGTTTTACATAATAAAATTTGTGAACATTCAATTACATGTTTGTCGCTTTTTAAAGCTTTTGGCGATTTGTATCTTTACTTCTGGGGTTATCACCTTTCTCCATTTTCTGAGGAAATAAGTCTCAACTGTTGTTTCGAGTTCTATTCTCTTTCAATTACCAGAACGTTCTTAAGTCAACAAAACTTCCGTAACACTATTGAAACGGAGTATTCTTTGACAAGGTGGAAATCCGCTCTTCGGTTACCTGATAATATATTCAATCGAGACGAGTAAAATGAACGTGCAGTCGTAAAATATTTCGACCGAAAGATGCGGTAATCGGAATGCAGGCCTAGCAAACCGCTTATCTACAAGTGTCGCAACAGTAATCTCCCTAAAGAAATAGATTTCAACACCCATGGAAAGTAACAATTATATTGTTTCCATAAACTGATTTATGTAAAGGGTAAAAGAAAAAGAAAAATTGACAAGCAGCTGTTTATACCGGAAAAGAAGTTTTAAAAACGTCAATCACCGAGTGTGCTTGATTTATGTCTTTTTTTCTTTCATCTAAAACTCGTCGCTTTGATTGGAACTGATTTTTTATCATCTCAGAGTTATTGACGGTGAGGCGTAACAAGGTGAGGAAAAACGTCGAAACATGACTGCTGGTGAGCGAAACAGATCCTTGATCAACAGCGGAACAGAAGCACTTAATATTTCACTTTCACCTGACGCGTTGGATCCCAGATCCGAAGTGGATACCCTCGTCTTTGTTTTCTCTTCAGTTCTACTCGCACTTGCAATCGTCATCGGCAACTCGATCGTTATGGCTGCTTTCATTCACAACAGAAAATTGCGTAAGAGAAGCAATGTATTTCTGGTCAGCTTGGCTTGTTCCGACTGCATCGTGGGTGTCATCTCCTTACCGCTTTGGATCTGCATCTCAGGCTTCGGAATCAGCAATAGCGACGCCGTCTACGTGTTATTCATCAGCTTGGACATTTTCAGCGCTTTGACATCGGTGTTTCATTTAACAGCTATTAGCGTGGAGCGTTTCATTTCTGTCTCAAGGCCATTCTTATATCAACGACTTTCGTCGCAAGTATACACCGTAACGATTACATCGGCATGGCTATTGGCAGCTCTCGTTGCTTCCTCAACTCCATTGCAGAGTCTGTTTCAGCTTCAACGCTTTTACGCGCCGAGTTTTACAGCAGTGGGGCTTCTTGGTCCATTAGTCATTATCAGCTCTATGTACGCTGGGATATTCCGCATCGCGCGATCACTGAGCCGCCATACACCTGGGACAGCTGGAACTTGTAGAATATCATGACGGGAAAGGAGCCATATAAAGAGAGAAATTAAAGTGGCGATGACCCTAACAGTGGTGTCTGGATTCTTCTTTCTGGCATGGCTTCCATTTTATTCATTGTTAATGATCGCTGTTTACTGTGTTCAGTGTTTGCCTGCAGGTCGCAATCTTCAGCGCCTAGTGGAAATCGTAAAATGGATGCATTACTCGAACAGCGCTGTAAATCCATTCATCTATGCTTTCAGGGATAAAGATATGAAACGAGAATTTCTGCGGCTCCTCTGGTTCAAGAGACTATCAGTCAATCTTAGCCTCTGGTTTGGTAAAGATCGCGTATCAACACAGGATGTTTAAACATCCGCCTTTAGAACTTCAGAGGTTAGAAAACAAGTTTCACCCCTACACTCATAGATGAGCGTAGACCACTGAGTGCTTTTTGTTAAACTCAGAGCTTGTTGACACCGCTCTGCTGAAAGTTACTTTATGCACATTTTATTTTTAAATTTTGAAGGTACACACCTCACATCTTAACTTATTAACACCGAAAAGCTGATATGGAGCTGTTTAATTTATCCAATTCATTTCCGCCGAAAAGTTTTGTAAATTGATCAATAGGTTCGAGAGATGTCAAGGTATAAGGGACCTATGGCCTTGCAGTTCTGTAAGAGTAAAATATTATGCTAAAGACTGAATATAATATATATCATTCCGCTTCTATTTTAACTTTGATTGCGTCTAACTTTCAAACTTTTCCTTGTAAAAGTTGGGCAATAAACAAGGTGAAGAAGAATTTTTCTGAATTCCTCTCAAGGAATGACCATGCGATCTCTTAAGTTACCGTCTTCTGAAAGGTATATTGCGATCGATGATCCAGTCCCTGTATTTAAGGATGTCAGACAATCTTATATCGCTCAGAGTTGTTCGGCTTTCAGTTAGTTTAATAAAGATGTTTGGGTCATAAGGATAAGGGATCTGATTCATGAATCGTTCGCATCCCCAAAATTAAACGTAAAGTACAACTGGACTAGTGTCAATCCGATGATCGCATGATGAAGTTTACGTATGATGCACGATCCTTCGCAGTAGATAGCGCTATTTATGCAATAGCGCTATCTACTGCGAAGGATCGTGCATCATTCGTATTTAATACCGCAGTTCAAAATATATGGACTTCATATATTCATTGTATATGAAGTTTGTTAAATTTCAAGAATAGATTTTTTTTTATTAAAGGACTTTTGGTATAGAATACTCAACTTGCACTTAGCGGCTAATCTTTAAAAACCTGTAAAATTACAGTTGCTACGTGAAATTATGTATTTACTTAGTTATTATTATTCAATAAAAGTGGATTGTAACAATAAGGGTGATATCTACTGGCAATTGCTGATCTTCGATAAGTCAGCTTGAAATAAACTTGTCTTGGGTTGTCACCCACCTAATGAACTGTCAGTTTCATGACTGACGTCACTGAAAACCATTTGCCCTGACCTGGCCGAGACAAAATTACATAAAATGCATAGCTAAACGCGGAAGGTAATGTTTGACAAGATTGATTGGCAGCAACACGTACTCCGAAAAAATTCATTAGCCGCTACACTCCTCTACAGAGACGGGTTTTTTTTACTGAGCTTGCATTTCCACGTGGCCTTGCTGTGTATCAAAAGGAAGAAATCATAGCCAAGTCCATCCCGACACGCTCTGGCATTTGTTGATGTAATCTGCAAAGCAAGGAAACCTTACCGCTATTCGGCTGATTAAGAGATTCAGGAAATCGAGAAGAGAAATGTAGATTACCTGTGAAATCGGTCAGATATTTTCTTGAATTCTCTAATACTTCTTTCACAGGGACTCTTGGTGCGTTACAACATGAATCATTTAGCACACGTAATTAAACTTGCTGAAACAATTATCAAATTTTTGTTTACTAGAAGGTCGCACGTCGAAATGTAGCTCAGTAAAACAGATCGGATAAGGCGGAGATCTATCCCGTTGTAAATCAAGATCACTAGGTTAGCCTAGATTTGGCCTTCTGCTCAATGTATCTGTACAAAGAAATAACTAGAAAATAAGAGTCAGTTATTAAATTCTAAAATTTAACAATTAACATGATGTCACCAAGTGCCAGTATCCTCGAGTGCACGTCTACCATCGAACAATGTCGTTGGCTTTTTGTATCTCAGATGATTTCGGTCGGATCTGTTAATTTTTGTTTCGAAATGATCAAATTGTAATATTGTTTCCTGCCAAATTATTCATCTCAAAAGGAAGATAATTTTCCAAGCTGTCCATCATGAAAGTATGGAACACTTTCAGCATCACCGGATATGAATTATAACAAGACAGCTATTTGGTAATTCGAATTCAATTGACTGAAAAAAATACATTGTCAGTGACACAAATTCTGATTGAGTCGGTAATGCTGTGATATATTTTATCTAAATTCAAAAACTTCCACGCGTTCTGCTTCTATAGTTTTAATAAATAATCAAGGATCTCTTAGTGCAGCTTCCGTGACGCGTGCTAAAATACGGTATGACATATAGTACAAGCAAGGATACTGTCTACTGTCTATGTCTACTCGTGACCTGCCGATAAAACTCATATCTCGACAAAGCATGCATCACGTATCGAGAAAAAGCTCCGTGAAACCGAATTGAATACAACAGAGATATGACCTGGGACAGACTTTAAATGCGTCTACACTAGATTGGCTATCGGCAAACAGACCATTTACCAATGATTCTCAGTTTTGTCAGTATTTTTTAGGTTATCACCTTCACTTTTAGACAATAAGATATAATCTTTCAGTATCTTGTGATAACTTTAGAATAGATTTGTCTCCAGACAAAACTAAATATATCAATACATCAACATATTTCCGTGTATCAAATGCAACTTGATACACGGAAATATGGAATACACTTACGAAAAAAATGTTCACGCTGTAAAGCAAACTTATCATCTACGTGGAACTAGCAATCCAAAAGATCAGTGATTTCACCTTTCGCTGATTGTTGGCGTCCTTGCAGCCTTGCTGACAAACATTATGGAGAAACCGAAACCAACACAGTCTTCCAAATTGCTTGTATTTCTTACGGTAACCTGTCTTGCAGGATTAATTCATGTTGAAGTTGAACTTTATGCTTATCGACAAATGCTTCAATTATTGAATCGCCCGACAGAAAAAAACCTCGGGATACAAAGAGCAGAGAGTGACGAAAAATTGTCGTCGATGAACTCATTTTACAGTGACTCAAATAAAGGTGAGTTTAAATTGACTGGTGCTTGTGATATGAGTTCAACTTAAATCGCTTCCCAAATAGCTTTTATTGTATGTTGCCGCAAAGGAAGTACTCTTAATAAGAAATAATTTCAAGGATAATGACTCTGTAATTGGCCCGTTATTATCAAACAGTCGCAATTCAGAAATCAACAGTTCACTGAGTATTCGTTGCTGCCCGTCTATATTTCATACACCTACAGATGCTGTTCTCTCTAACCCCTTTTAAGCAGCACACTGAAAGCTAAATAGGAAGCATGATTTTTCCTCTCTTGCTTAACACTGTTACTGTCCTATGGCATAATATAACACTTGGAGCATAGCATTATCCTCTAATAGTAAACGAGGAATAAATTTGTAATAATAACTGAAAAGAAAGAGAGTAAGCTAACCTAACGGCGCGGCTCATTTAATTCATTTTCATTTTCATTTTAAATGAAGATATATTATTAGCGACTGGGCCATTGAAATATATTAGAATCAGGAAAGAACACGAAACCAAACACTAATTATGGGCCGGTTGTCTAGACGAGGTCTAACCTAACCGCGGTTTTACGCAAGCAATGGGCCTCAAGTATTTTCCGTAAAGGATTGTTTTCCTTTAGTATATGTCTTCCCACTGCTAGCTTTCGTTCCTCTTGACAACTGCTAAATTCTGTTTAAATAACCAGCCTTATATTTTCCGGCTGTTTCCTGTAGATTTACACATCTGTCACAAGCGCCGTGCACAAACCATTGACAAGGGAACAAATTGCAGCGACAGTATCGATCACGAAGTCATCAAAAAGGAAGTGAAACTCGCTTTGAGCAGCATAACCTGCAAGGTTCGTTGCCCCAAAAGCAATAAAGGAAAACGAGGAAGGCCTGGTTCCAGAAGTCCTCCTGGAAAGCATGGATTGCCAGGGCCACCTGGGATCTAAGGCCCCGAAGGAAACCAGGGCCCCCCGGGTATTCAGGGACCTCCTGGGCCTAGGGGTCCCCCCGGAGTCAAGGGAGATCCTGGTAAAACTATCTCTGCCCCATCCATTAGGGTACCTCCTACATCAATAGTGGTGAACGAAACAAATAAAGCCTCACTTCAGTGTTTGGTCGAAGGAAATCCAGAACCAATGGTCAAGTGGCTGAAGCAGAATTCCAGTCTTCCCAAAGAGAAGCGCATTGTGCAATCCCGTGGAGATCTTTTGATTATGGATGTGACGTCACGGGATAATGGAATGTACACTTGTGTGGCGAAAAATATCTTGGGAGTGATGAAAGCCTCGGCTACATTGACAGTTCAAGGTCAGTAGTATTTCATATCGCCAAACATTCATTCAGTGCCGCTCTTTTTAAAGTCCTATCGTAGGATCCAACTGACTAGTAGGACATTAGAGAGAATAATACTTAAAGATCCAGGGAAATTTATTGTGGTCATGATCATAAATATGTACAACGTTACGCACTTCGTTTTTAAATCAAATACATCAGCGATAACAAATCGTCTTACAATTATATGGTGCTTTTCATGCAGGTTCAACAGAATTTAAACTGTCTGCTCCTTTTTATGAGTTTTTAATTTCAAGTACTCCTTTAATTTCTTCCAGTTGCCCCAAAGATTATTCAGAAACCTTCGTCAGTAAACGTCGAGGAAGGGAAAAACTTAACCTTGCTCTGCAAAGCCATTGGTCAGCCAACACCGACAATCGCTTGGCGAAAAGCGTTCGGACAGTTGCCGAGAAGGAAGACAGCAGTTGTTAATGGAAACCTGATAATAACAAATATTGCAAAGGTAGATATTGGAGCTTACGCATGTGTCGCAAAAAACATCATCGGAGAAGATTCCGCTGTCGCTCTTGTGGTAGTTAGCAGCGGACTTAAATTTACATTGAAACCTCCTGAGAAAGTAGCGGCATCAGCCCTCAGTAACGTAATGCTTAACTGTGCAGCTCAAGGTTCATCAGATATTCAATGGATAAAGGTCGGTCGTGGTCTCGCGTCAAATCATGTTCTTTATCCAAACGGAACTTTGCTACTAAGGAAAGTTAGTCTTGATGACACTGGGACTTATTCGTGCTTGGCAAAAAATTCAAGGCGTTTTATAGAGGTAAAAACTGTAGTTAAAGTGCTAAGGCCCATGTCATCTTGCAGCAGACTAAAGACAGCCTTAAGTGGAATATCCTCAGGTACTTATACGATTGACTCTGATGGCAACGGAGGCTTGACGCCCTTCAGTGTCTACTGTGACATGAGTGACAAAGGCGGAGTTGGCGTGACGGTCATTAGTCACGACAGTGAAGAAAGAACTCATGTTGGTGGTCAGGATGGATGTGAAAGCAACGGATGTTACAGTAAAGATGTGCAATACAGTGGAGTCAGCACCGATCAGCTGTCAGCAATTACACGAGTCTCACAAAATTGTGAACAGTTTATTAAGTTTGAGTGTAAAAATGACGTATCTTTTCTAGAAGAAGGAAGTGGCTGGTGGATGTCACGTGATGGAAAACGTATGAACTACTGGGGTGGAGCAACAGGACATGAAAAGATGTGCGAGTGCGGAGTAAAAAATTCCTGTTCAAGTGGTTACAAGTGTAACTGCCACGGTGAATTTCCAAGACTGTCCAACGTTGGCTGGAGAGAGGACGGTGGTCTGTTGACAGACAAGTCTTCTCTTCCCGTGTCACAAATCAGACTCGGTGACCTCGGAGATTGGCCACAGGAAGAGGGATACTACACAATAGGAAAACTGAAGTGTTATGGATAAAAGAAACGCAGAAACGATAGTAACAGAAACGTTTCCACGAAAACTCTAACACTGGACTGAATATGTTAATGCTTAAGACTTCTTTAGTTAGTTCTGTTCCATAAATCAATTACCTGGCTGGTATAGGACATTATCCAAACAACAAAAGGACATTCGATGCACAACGATTTTTCTCAGTTTTTCTTTAAGGACTAGGCTGTCACCCGTCCCGACCCAAACCTCGAGCTCCCTCGCTTTATCAATCGCTGCTTCTGTCGCACAGTTGACTATTTCGCTACTTTTTACTAGCTAAACGCCTCGAAAAGGCTAAGAAATTAATCAAAATTCTCTAAAGAGTCTCCACATAGTTGATTAGTGTGCACGAAGATGTCATTGATTCTTGCTAAAGAGGATTTGGAGAAGCAAATTACAGCGAGGATAATAACACCTTATACAATTACATTTCTTTAAGTATAGTAAAACAATATGATCCCTATGGACTCGTAAACTTGTTATCATGAAGTTAAAAGAAAACAAACCTGACATAGTGTATAAAAGTAGAGGTCTAATGACTAAAGTAGTAATTATAAGGCTATCCTTTCGTGTGTAAAACGTATTTGCGAAGAGCAAGATTGACACCTCGTGATTCCATGTTATGATTTCAAAAACTCATTAATAATTCATGAGCTTATTAGCCTATCACACGAGGCAAATCGATCACGTGTATGAACCTTTATAGCCCGTATAGAATGATCACTCTGAAAAGCCCGGAGAGGGTTTTGATTTCGGTCTCGGGGGAAATCGGGGTACAATTCATAAACAACGAAATCATCACTGAATTATTAATGAAAATATTATTACTGTCATCTTTATATAAAGATCACCAGAGATCTTTCTATAAAGATCACGTTAATCATGATAATTCCAATTATTCCCCAAAAGGCAGCATACAAAAACATTAACCGTAGTAAACAACAAAGTTTATTTTCCTCATAAATTCTTGCTAGAGCAGATTCGTTCTTTTACAATTTCCCATTGTTCACAAAATTAATTGTGCAGTTTTGGAAGACACAACTATAGCGTCGCGTCCATTGCTCTCTTCTAAGTAACGCTGTAATCCACAGCTAATACTGTACAAACTTCTTGGGGGATACCGCTCTCCGTTCTCCTTGCACACCTCCGCAACAAACTTTGTCAGCCAAAAATCCAAGGATTCAGCGCTCATCTCAACAATACGCGTTTCTAAACTCTGAATACTCTCAACTTCAACTCTAAATCCTATATCCTCCAAGTAGGCGTCTTTATTTCTTCTTGAACTTTGCCACTCGCCAAAAATTTTGTAAGCCCACTTTGTGGCATACCGAGTAGCCCTTGGAACACAACTATCCAAGTAATCTTTCTCTTCCTTCGCTTTTTTTGGTTCTTGAAACACGCGTTTGGACGGCATTTCAAGGAAAAGCTTTCTGAACTTTAACAGCAGCCGAACAAGGAGCACTTTTCCCCCCTGTATGTAATTAACTTTTCATGCATTCAAATCACGTTTAGAAAAATCCCCAGAGGCACAGGTTTTTGAAGCTATTTAATGCATTCATACAACGTTTGGAAAAATTCCTAGAGAGGCTCGGGTCTTTGAAGCTATTTAAAAAACTCGCAGCACGTGTTTTATCGGGTCTAAAAACACGAGGATAAAACACTGCTGCTTGTTTTTTAAATAGTACTTAAGATATGACCACAGTATAATAATATATATGTAAAGTGTTACTGTGTTTGTTCTCTTCGAGTCTCTTTTGCTTCTAAAATAATTGAACGATTTTATGAGTCATTCAGATTTCTCGATAACGAGGACTAAGGAAAACTCTTGTTGAAGATTTGGAAAGTGACAGCTTGCATTCAAAAAACTTTTAATGCTCGATCCCCAACATCATTTGTCTGTCTACCTATTTTCAATTTTGGATTGTTTCGTGAGTTTGTTTTGTTTTGATTTGTGGTTGTTTCCTTGGATACTGTTACAATCAGGAGTAAACATATTAGCTCGTGTCTTTCACAATTCATAGTATTCTACTGTTCGATATTCAGTTCAAACCATTAAATCGTGACAATGAAAAATAGACGAATAATTAAGTAATGCGCAAATTATCAATAAGTGTGTACCTAGGTCATTCTATGCCGAAATTGTAACTCGATAAAAGATCCTGTAATCTTAAGCAAATCTGTCAAAGATGCAGCCACAAATTTTTCGGACGCAATTCTTATAGCATCGAAAGTAACTTTGGCAATAAATACAGTATCTGCATGGCACAATATGAAAATAATCTGAAATGTAAGATTGCAAATTTCCAAAGCTGCAACTCTAATGAAGCGTGGGTTGACGATGACCTTTGTCGTGAAACGTGTTCACATTGTAAAGGCGAAAAGTACACTTAAGTTGGTGAACAAATCCCACACCCTTGAGAGCTCAAAATGAAAATGGCACATCTGGCTGTAGAAGATTTGGTTAGAGGTTGTAATAAAAACAGGTTCAGTAAGATTTTAGAATTCTTTATTGCAATTTGACAGCTACCCGAAGATGAGTTCAATTGTGACAAGCACAACTGCAAACGCAATAGATGAACATTCCTTTAGCTTACTGTCTCTTACTGAGCATACTGTCTCCTACAGCGCCACAGCTCAACTTCAGCATGACGTATAAAGTAGCCGTTTAGTTCCAAATGAAAATTAAAATAATTTGCCGTCGCGGTTTCGGTTCGCAGACGACGCAAATTTTGGCGATTTCACGTTGTTGTTTTGCATAGGACGGCTACGAAATGTACAAAGTTTCAAAACACACGTGCTGAGCTATTGTTCAGCCAATTAGATCTCTTGCTTTTCCACGTCCTCGTTGCCGTCACCGTCGTGGTTTCTTAAGGTCCCTAATGTGTTCTATTGCTTAAATGAAATAATTTAGATGGCTTCTGAACTCAGTAACGTATGATGGGCTAAATGGAGCTCTGAAAGTTCTGCAAAAACAGACCATGATCCATTGAAAGCGTTACCAGATGATAATAAAACAAAATATGTTCTATGTGAAGAAGCCAGTGTGGAAGCTCATTGGTGTTAATCCTTTAACCACACCTCGCCCCAGTTCCTTGAATTCTTTAGCATCCAGCACCAAAAGGTAGGTTGTCTCATCTGGGATGTTTATTACGCATGACAGCACCACACCGTCATCTTCATCCTTCCCATCAGGCGCTTTGACAAATACAGGCTCTGAGGCAAAACCTCCAGGCTCTGCCCACGTGACATACTCCTTGGTATCTGTATTCACCTTCACTAGATGACTAAACCACTTTTGATTATCAGCTCCTACACCATAGAAAAACTTGTAAGGCTTGCCATTCTTTTCTGTGTTGTTAATAGTTGGAAATTCTACACCCGGATGCAGCACGGTGTAATCCAGGCCGTCCGGTCCTTTATCAAGAGGCTTTCCATCCTTCACATCTCCAAGTTCTTTAAGAGGAAGTTCGTAACGTCGTATATCAGGGATATCAAGTTTCTTTACCCCTGGGATTATGGGGGATCGCATGTTATGCAGGTACGTCTGCTTGATGATTGTGTGGTCATGGAAACAGCAGGTGTCGACATAAATCTTCCCTTCTCTTTCAAAAGCGTTGACCTGATGGAACGTAAAAAACGGATCAGCTGTAAATATTCCAACGTGAGTACCTTCCTTCCTGTCGACGACATGGAATCTTCCACGTTCATTTTTTATCCACTGGAACCAATCAGCGACACCACTCTCCTTCAACCGGTGAACGTACGCTTCCCACAAATTCAGTACCAGTGGTGCCTCAGGAACCACAATATAGTTCTCGGTAATGCAAAAACTGTGGATATACCCAACTCCGTTAGTGGGTGGGATGGAGCAAATCATTTTACTCCCCTCTAGAGGATGCTCGTCCTTTCCCGTCTTGGAGGCCGGGATTTCTATGATATCGTAGGTGGAATCTTCAGCATGTGTCACGGAGATGTTAATCAGTGAACCATCTTCGGTGAGTTGCGGATGTGCTGTTGTGAATTTGATATTGGCATCACCTTTTGGATCAAACAACTAAGGTAAGTAGTTGTTCATAAAATGAGTCGGATGAGCCAACGAATTCTTTGATCAAGACACAGAGAAATAACCGAGAACTACTGGCGTTCTGATCGGTCACCGGTAAGAGAAACAGATATATATATATATAACGGAAAACAATGCATACGCCTTCAAACCTTATAGAGACCACTAGAAAGTGAAGTATATGATGGATACCAATCAGTAAACAATAGAATTGAAATTTACCTGGAAACTCTTTCGCAAAATCGACCTTATCTAACGTGTCCAAGGTCTTGGGATCGATTTCGAAAATGATGTTGGAATCAGCTGCTGCGAAGACTCTGTTTTTCAATGTAAACACGGTATCGAACGCGTTGTCAAAAGGCACTTCATCCATCCAAAACTTCGACACAAAACGGTCGAAGATATTCTGGCAGGGATCTGGGGCTATGAAAGAGCCGAACTCGAGATGAATCGAGTTTTTGCGTTTTTTTGTGTCTGCATAACTTTCGCTTCGTACAAACTTTGAGCTGTACGTAACCTGACCATCTTGTATGTGGAAGCTGTGTAACAGACCTTGGCCATCAAACCAGTGATTAAAGGAGGTGTCACCACACTCAAATCTACCAGGTCCATTCCTTATCATGGTCCCGGTCAGCCAGGAGGGGAGGTTACCTTTAACCTCCGCTTTGATTGGCTCAGATTGCTCATCAGTAGATTGGAACAATGGAGAGAGGTCTTGTGATTCGGTCATGGGTAGAAAATTGAACAAAACCTGAAAAATGCATGTAAAAGAGATAACTCTGATTGTTTGTTAAAACGTAACCGAAGGAGACATTTCATTCAATTCAGTGAATTGAAGGAAAGGCGAAAGTTCAGGGGGCTTTATCCCAAAGATTAAAGCAAATATCTGGTTTTCTTTTTTTGCACCAATAAGAATTGCCTCTCCCACAAATTAGTTGGTGTGAAAATGGGCAAAGAAATAGTGTAGTTCCAGTCTCCTTCTGGTCGGCAACTGCGTCTCATGGAAAAACCCCTGTGCCTATGTCTCCCACAAGGTTTTAAGAAGCGAACCTAAAAACACACCTGAAATTTGCAGCCCTGATAATGAAGTCGCTCCTGTTTCTTTGTTTTTTTAGCTCGTTTCTGTTTTGGAATGTTTGTTTGTTTGTTAGTTTTCTTTTTCTCTCTAACAAGTTTTTAACCACATTCAAATTTTAAGAGGAGGATATTTGTATGAGAGCATTAGCCTGTACGTAGCGGCATGTACTAAAACCCGAAACACCGAAACGAAACCGCCGGAACGAAACCACCGGTACCACCGAAACAACCGAAACGAAATTACCGGAAATACAATTAAAAGGAGTCACTTATCGTCCCCAGGTTCTTTTTGCCGCCATAATTTGAACTTATCTCCCCTCCCTGGTGATAAACGGTAGTAATAGTAATAGTAATCAAAGTTTAATGTCTTTACGTGGGGCATGGTTACCCATATTGCCCGAGCCAGAGGCACATGTTTGAAACGCAAGAGAACAACCCACCCATCCCACTCCAGGGGAGGACATCCATCACACAGTAATCTCGTGCGTGGGAAATTAACGTCTCCTACCCCTAACCCTGCAGGAGACGGGACCTCCATTTATTCGTCGCTATCCGAGAAGACTAGAATATCTAAACCATTTCTTGATGTTATAGAAAGGCAGCATATTCTTCTCAATTATTTTAAGACCTTGAGTGTTGGTCCGGCCGGGGCTCGAACCCTCGACCTCCCGCACATCAGTCCAGCGCTCTATCCATTGAGCTAACCGGGAGGCGGTTAAGTGCTACAAGTACTTTGTGTTTATGTACAAGAGGAGGGAGTGAGGCTAGAGATGACCTTGTTATGATACAAACCTTGCTGCCTTTCAAATGTAAATCACTTTGTTATCATGCTAACTAGATACAGGTCTCTATCACAACAAGGTCATCTTTAGCCTCACTCTGAATCAAAGGCTTGGCAACTAAGTACACAACTGTAAAATGGCCTATTAAGCGAACCAGCGAGAGGTAATGATAACAGTAATAAATTTTATTCAAGTGTCAAAACATTTAAGCTATATGAGGTAGTTGGGGGCACAGTTGGTCAATTAGGTCGGCAAAGAATCTGAAAAAGTGCCAGACCACCGTTCCACAGTTCTCGCCGACTGGCGTTTCTCAAATCCTAAAACTTCTTTATGCGAGCACTAAAGTACTCATGGCTCATAGTTATTTCACGTGACATGAGGAATGCGTGACAATCTAAATGCTTTTGCCCGTTCCAACACAACAATGTGAAAGCGATATTTCACACAAGTAAGATTTTCGCTAATCAAACCCAGCGCTGTTTCATATTTCACTGTAATCTAACTAAGGGAGCTCATCTAGGAACGAGATTAAATTCTGCTTCGAGCATTGTCGTGTTTTGATCGTAATCGCATTAGTCACACATGATATTAATGTGGACAAAATATGGCAAAATCCCGAATGTGGAAAATTTGCGGACAGCCACGGAGAAAAGATATTTATCACCATAAACACTAAATTTTCGAACGTTGAGGGAAAAAAAAACCTACAATGATTAGATTAAAACCTTACTAAGGATACAATTATTCATTCAACGTTAAGTAACAGGCACAAATCTCTAGTCTCCTTGAAGCCAAAATTTAAAAAACAGTGGACAACAAACTAATTAAAAGCAAGTTCATGTGGGAAAGTAATGAAATTTCCTGCCCTCGTCGCTTTTTCGTGCATGAAAAGCAAACCCCTGCTTTGAACAGGTAACTTTGCACCTACGCGTCAGGGTTAGATAAAAATTGCACGAGGTCACAATGGCTAAAAAAAAAGGACCTCTCGCAAATCCACACACTATTTGCGATATTCCAACGAAAGGTGCGAATAAACTTTTAAGGATGACGAAGCTTTAATCAACCGCTAAATAGCCTGAGTTCTGACGATCCAGAATGTTAGCTGTGTCCGAACTAGAGACAGAGATTTCATGACATTCATGCTAGGGCGAAAACAGGACAAAGTTTAGTTCATGATCATGTTCCACATTCTTTTAAAGCAGGAGCGTAAACGGAACAAATCCCTTTAGTTATTATTCAATTTTCATGTTATGTGTTTGGAACTGAATCACGTTAAAAAGGGGAAATGAAAAGTAAAGATAAGAAAAATGGGACAGAGCTTGAACGAGCTTAAAGATGAATGCAAATTAGTATTCTTATTGCAACCGCACTTGTCACAAAAATTTGCATTTACAATCCTGTTATAGATGATGGTGCAAATCATCATCATACATTTGGCATCAGAGCACGCTACCGATCGTTAAGTAGGGTTGTAGGGAACTTAAAAATACTGAGGATGCCATAACATCACTCCATTAAAAATAATTTCAGTCGTAATGCCCCGAGGCAAAACATCGCGTTAGAACCGAGTATTTGGACGGAACGTCGACGTCCATAGTTTTAACACGCCAGAATAAAAGTCAGCAAAATTCACTACCTTCGTTTTTCTCCTTAAACTGCATCATTAGCTCACGTCCGAGCACGTCGAAAGAAGCTTAAGATAAAGACTTACCTTTCAGACAGCGGACACTTCTAATGTACCGTCCCCCAACCTTTGTTCGGCTAACACCTAATTATTCTAAAGTATCATATCATGTAATGAGCATAGAGAGTCCCTCGGAAAACATTTGCACCCACTTGCATTGGCGCATGTTCAGATTGACAAGGCAGAACTCTTTTGAAAAGTGGCAAATAAAAGGTGAATTAAAAGGGAGGAAGAAATAAAGCGATTGAAGAAATCTTTGAGTATCTGATGGGTTCTTCCAAAAGAAATGATTTTCTAACACAGCAGTCCTTGATTCTATGCGACAAGAGGGTGTTTAACAGAAATTTCACTGTGGCATAATAAAATAGAAAAATTGTATATTTCTCTACTACAGTACTTGATGTTCTCTATTCACTAGATCAGTGACCAAACTTATCTTAGCAACAGAGCTAAATTGAGTCGTGGGGACTGGGGCAAGAGGAGAGTGGGAGAACCGTTGTTAAACATGGATCATTATAGCAACTGTTCAACTCAGTCCCTCGAAATATTGCGCTTCCAGTGTGAACTGACCGTAGTCTACGCTTACTGTAGAGAAGGAGACGAAAGAAAGAAAAAAAGAAATGGAGCACGAAAAAAAAATTAAATAAAGGAAGAAAGGAAGATGGTGCGTTAAGGCAACACATACGGACAGTAAAAATTAAAGTAAAGGCAAGGAGATTTAACCAGGCTGGTTTTATTTTTGATTAAATAAATCAAATAACTTTAAACAAAAGTAACCCGGCCCGCCACGATTAGCATTAATTATCGGTGGGTCCGTCCCCGTCCACCCACCTTAAAAATTAAGAAAACTGATGATCAGTGATCTCACTGTTGTTACGTTTTTGTCGTCTTTTTTCTTGTAAAGGCTCTTTGCATGTTGTAATACGACAACAAATAGTAACCCTTGGAGATTGATCTGAATTACGAAATCGCACGTCTGACTTTCAATACCCGTTTTCCGAAAATTTAGGTCAGAGATCTAAATTTTCATTAAGAGATCTATCCTGGGCTTAAGGTTGGAACTATCAGTGATTGAGTTGTATAAATTCGCCCCCTAGAAAATCATGAAATAAATCTGCGGAAATAGCCTGAAACAGAAAAGGAAACCTATTTTGCACATCTCTGTTTTTCTCAACTATCTTCCTGCCTATTTTTTCTTATCAAGGACCAAAGAGTATTATCTTGGAAGAAAAAAAATTCAGTTCAGCATTTATAGTCCTTGTTGTCGCTGAAAAATCCCATGAAATGACATTGGAGATGATACCCCTTTGGCCACAGCTCGACCCAGCTCTTCGAAATTTTTCGCGTCCAACACCAGCAGAGAGGTGGTCTGGTCAGGGACGTTTATGACGCATGACAGCACCACACCTTCATCTTCGTCCTTCCCATCAGGCGCTTTTACAAACACAGGCTCTGAAGGATAGGCTCCAGGCTCCTCCCATGTAAGGATTTCCTTCGTCTCAACGTTCAGTTTCCCCAGTTGACCAAATGGGAGATCTTTTGTAGATACCGTGCCGTAGACAATCTTGTATGGCTTGCCGTTTTTCTCTGCGTAGTTGAACTGCGGCAGTTCCAATCCAACACATAGCAAAGTGTAGTCCAGCCCATCAGCTCCTTTCCGAAGAGGTTTCTCCACCTCAACGTTTCCAAGTTCTTCCAGTGGTAGTTCGTACCGGCGAACCTCAGCGACGTCGAACTTTCCTTGTTCTGGCTGACTAGTGGAACGCAGGTTCTTAAGGTACACTTGGCGAATAATTGAGTCGTCATGGAAGCAACACCCGTCTAAATAGACCTTGCCATCTTTTTCGAACGCGTTGATGTGGTGAAACACCAAAAACGGATCCGCTGTGAAGACGCCAACACGTGTTCCACGTTCTCTGTCCACCACGTGAAACCTGGTGAGTCGGTCTGGATCCCAGCAAAGGAACTCAGCAGGACAAGATCCAGAAAACCTGTGGGTTATAGCCCGCCATAAATCTAGCACGAGTGGCTGTTCGGTAATAACAAAATAGTTGTCTGTGATGCAGAAGCTGTGCATGTAGCCAAGCCCATTTGTAGCCGGAATGGAACATAGGACCTTACCTCCTTCCAAAGGACGCTCGTCTGGATTTCCTGAGGATGGTGGTATTTGAATGATGTTGTAGGTACACGTTCGACCATACGTGGAAGAGATGTTGATCACTGATTGGTCAGGGGTTAGGTGAGGATGGGCTGTCGCAGAATTGATCTTTACGTCACCTGGTGGAAAGAAGAAAAGCCGAAAACTTAGAATAATTATAATGAAAGATATCGTACCCTACTGTTAGAGGATCTCTCTAACACTCTTTTTGTCCTTGAAAAACTGTCTTAATTTCTTACAACTTGCTCAACTTACAACTCGGATCTAGCTCTATTCTGAGCAGGAACATTGGTCAGTCGCTTATATAGGTGACACGTACTAAGCTGCCAATCCTCATGCATCGTCATTATTTCTCACTTAGCCAGCGAATAACGTTAAAATAGGAAAAAAAAAACAGGTCCCGCATACTAAGTATGTACCTTCGAGATATCTGCGCTTTAAAAAATCTTTTTCTACATGAAATTTCTTACTCTTGCGGTCAAGGTCGGGCGGAATGAAAACAAGATCGACAATATAAAAAATTATAGTAAACTTATTGACAGAATTAGAATCATACCTAGAGAGATATCTTAAGAGAAAATAGCTTTTAAAGACTGTTGCAGAAACAACAAAATAAAAATGAAATTCGGAGAAGAAAGGGCGTACCCAAGGTACCACCCCCAAAAGAACTACGTGCTGTTCATATAGGTCAACTGATTGCAAATTCAGTGCCGAGGATGAAAGGCACAACTTGTTTACACTTACAGCCACCTTTGAGAGAAAGAGGTGTTGAACATGCTTATGAGAAATTAAAAATAATTTTTTCCGGATCGGGAATCTGACATAAATTTACTCAAAAACGAGCCTGGAAAGGATAGAAAACATAGGAAGGAGGAATTTCCAGGAAATTCCTATGCGAGGTAAACTTTTACCAGATCAAATTACTCTATTATTCATCAAATGGATTATCATAATTGAAATAAGTCTTACCGCAAGATAATTGAAATACTTCACGGTAAGTTTTAATCACCTTGAAACTTGACATCCGCTTTCATGTCAACTCGCGATTGGATAATATGTCATAATCGCTAACAGTCTTATATAAACTTTTGTTGAGTTAAATGGACTATTTTCTCCCAGAAAGACTGAACAGACAACAATTACTCTACTTGCAAAGTAAGATCGCCATCGAAATAGGAAATTATCAACTTGTTTGCAATATTTCTTAACTGAATGACTTATGCTAATACGTTATTTCCATTCATATTCCCAACGCCAAAGTAAGGAAAGCCTTACAATGCTTCTGTATATGTTATCGATCTTTTTTTATCGTTTAACTTTATTTAAAAATTAGGACTAGCATGTAATGGACAAGTTAAAGGGCATGCCAATTTTAATCAATGCCACACCATCGCCATCGCTAATGTTAGTCAAGGGTGTGCAACAATGCAGCCAAATTCATAGAAAAAAATACATGCTTTTTATACTGTTACCTGGAAACTCCGTAAGGAAGTCGACTCTCTTCAAAGTTTCCAGTGTTTGGGCGTCGATCTCAAAGATAAAGTTTGTCTCGGTCGCTGCGTAAGTCTTGCCTTTGATGGGAAACACGTTGACAAGTGTGTTGTCCCTCCCGATTTCCTCTTTCCAAAACCGTGAGAAAAAACGGGAGAAGATGTTCTGGCACGGGTCTGGGGGTATAAAAGTGCCAAACTGCATATGAATCGAGTCCCCCCGTTTTAGGGAATCGGCATAGCTTTCACTTCGTATGAACCTGTTGCTGTAGGTCACATGACCATCTTTTATGTGGAAACGGTGGAGAAGTGCTTGAGCATCGAACAGATGATTAAACGAAGTGTCCCCGCACTCGAATTTACCAGGTCCATTTCTAAGTAAGGTTCCGCTCAGCCAGGAGGGGAAGCTACCCTTTACCTCTGCAAGGATTGGTTCAGGATGCTCATTAACAGTCTGGAACAGGGAAGCGTAATCCTTTTCGTTAGACATTAGTGAACCAGTCTTGCTACATGGAAAAAAAAAATTTCCACTGGTAAACTACGGTGCGACAGTCAAATTACGGCTCCACCTAAATATGAACATGACATCAACTCTTGATTATTAAACAGTCTCCTTGACAGCACAGAAAATGTATTGGGGACTGTATGGAAAACATGACGCGCATTATCCATCATTTCACCAGAACTGTCATACCATGACTCTTTAGAAAGGCACGGTTTAGCTTCGCTCTATGACAGACGCATGAAGTTATGTACGGATCTGTTCTTGTCTGTCTCAAATCCATCTCACAAATTATACAATTTGCTGCCAGATAGGCATCTTTCAGCTTACAATACTAGACACCGGCGCGTTTTTAACATGCCGCGCTTTCGCACTGATAGTTTTAAATCTTCATTTATCCCGGCTATGTGCGCGTGTGCTAACCTAGATTTTTAGCTATTCCACTGCTGTATATTAGTTATAGTTGTTATATTAGTAATTTTATTTAGGTCTTAGCATTTTTGTAATTGGTTGTCTTATATAGTCTTATATAATCAAAGATTGTGAAAAGCCCGCAATTCAGCCTCTGGCTGCAATGTATTTTATTAGGTAATAAACTATCTATCAACTATCTATCTATCATGAATACTAATGTTGGGTGTAAATAGTAAGCGAACTAACTAATTGCGCAATGTCTTGATGTGTAATTGCGTTGAAGAGTATTAAAATAGATGTAACACATCAGACGTGCTGATGAAGTAGTGGATACAACGCACCAGGAGTTTTCCTAAAATAAATAGTTAGACTTGCGTTGCGTAATCTGTAGCTGGACGAGACAAAACTACCCCCTCCCCCCCCCCGTTCGCGAGAACGACGTTTCAATTATTCTATAACAAAGCGATCGAAATCGGCAACACTTTAATTTCGATCCTTCGATCGATCGCTGAGAAAAGAGAAGGGAACATAGCTCATACCAATGGTTAAAATCCTATGCGCGGAAACTGATTTTCGGCATTTGGCTTGCGATAGGGCAAGGAAAGGAGCAGACGTTTTCGAATGGGAAATTGCAAGAACTTTGAATGTTGCAATATTTGGCTGAAAAACATCGAGGCAAGCAATTTGTTCCACAGGTCTTTGCACTCCCAACGGGAAAATGAGCCAATTACAAGCTCTATTTCCCAACCTCATTCGTTGTTACGCCCCCAGACATCTCTAATAAAAGCAAATTTTTTGTAGTCTGCGAGTAAAAAAACAACAACACTCTGGGAATAACAAACACAAATTAAGGACTCAAACAAATCTCACTTGATATAGATCAGGTAATTTCCACAATGCAACCACGATTTCTAGTCAAGCCATACGACAAGCGCGTTTGCTCGACTCAACAAATCGGTTGGGAAACTCTCCTATCGTAATCTATCTCTTTACCAGAAGAAACAATCGAAGTGAATTGTACCAAATTTCAAACGAACAGCTCAGTATTCATTGCCAGGTTAATAATGCAATTACAAACCCACATCGACTATGACGAGCGGAGCGTTTCGCGCATCTACAATGTATGGGTATAAAGAAAATATTAATTCGAATGATTATCTAGCCCATTTTAAATACGTTTATTAGGAAATGAAGCGCAATTTCTCTCGTGAATTTGTGTTCCGCCATGCCGCCATATGCATGTCCTGACAACCAGTAATTCATTCCAAATGCTCAAAATACTCGAGTTTCCGGCGGAACAAATTAAAATCTTTTAAACACAGGATGTCGATGAACGAGATCATCGAACGATAAATTTACCAAGCGTATTCCGAGTGTTGGTTCGAGGATAAGCAAAACATCGCGATTTAATATGCATGATAAAAAAAACATTGGTACATCCGCCCTTACCTTCCTGCCTTTTAATCGTCACTTTACACTTAAAGACGTTGTAGCCCGGTGCAGCCCTCGAGCTCGACAGCAAACTCAACCAGTACCAACTCGACAATGACACACTCCTTTTACACTCTCTTGTGACACTCTTTTTGACACGTTCAGCGGCCCTTTGACCATAGGCAGACCATGCCTCCTGTTCGTGGTTAATAATTATTGAAGTGAGACGAAAAAATCTGCGAGGGTTATGAATAAAGCTCGGAAAATTGCCTATCTGAATAACGTCTCGTTCTTAATATCTCACTTAAGTCAAAAGGAATGTCAATCGACGTATTTGTGGTATTCTTGCGCCTTCATGGGCCGTTTGAAGCGTCTTTAACGAAAATACTTTTGGACGGAGGAGTAAGCAAGCTCAAGTCGACATGTTTGCTTCCATGAGTCACGCAATACTTCTGTTTGGTCATCCGTAATAAATAATAAAGCTGGCTTGCTAAGCAAAAGGTTACGAAAGCGTTCGATGAAGCTATGCATAGCAGACGCAAGAAAGAGTACAGCGCAGCTTCGATTGCGTAAATCTTGTCATTCCTGTAGGATTTAGCTCTCGGCTAAATCTTTGTCTTATTAGGAAGCACGCACCAGTCTTCGAAACGACGTCTTCGTGAGTTTTTGTCTCGATTTCCACTCAAAACCATTAGTAAACGGCAGAGACAACAACGGCAGTGGATGAATGGCAAGCAGCCATAACCGTTAGGTTAAAGGCGGCAGTCAGTTTCAAAATTGTGCGTTACATTTTGATCATAACCAAATACTGTGGACGGAATATGTGGAATATGGAAAATCCCAATCTTCCTTTCATTTTCTTACTTTCTTTTATTTTCCTTTTTAGAATTTAGTCTCGCCCATGTTACCCAAATGGAGAACAAAGTGAGATCAATTCTTTCAAACCTTTATGCCTTCATATCAGCATCCACTTTCTCCATAGTATTTTTTACAAATTTCTTTGGTACTAAGTGGGAGAATTCCTTCAACAATCAAGTACTTTTTTAGTTCGAGATTATTTGATTCATTATCATGACCTCATTGTTTTATTTAATGGCGATACAGAAACCGGACACTGATCACTTTTAGGGTTAACTGACGAGCAAATAGACAAACACGAAGAAAAAATAACAACTGGCCCTGGAACAAGTATGCCTGGACCACATGATTTATTCATTCTACTGTGAAGCGTTACACGCTAAGTTTTTCTCGAAACAGAATAACTACTTCTTTCCTGCCTACCACAACAAATTTCGTTTCGCGCTAACCCTGGGCAAGAGTAAATCTTTCATAAGTTACACATTGGCAAGTTCAGGTTTACTATTCCTGGTCATGTCTATCACCTTCAGTTTTGCTTCATCATGAGAAAGATAAAAATCACAAAAACGAAAGCACAATACAAACATTTCATAAAAGAGAAACAAAGTTAACTCTTAATATTCTTATGGAATTGCGCCAACCAGCTCTCGAACGACCGGGCCCAGAATTTCGTAGTACCTCCGTCCTCCTTCCATTTTTCTTTATGGAATGAGAAGGGCACGAATCGAGCACCATCTTAGAGTATAGTTCCTTTGGTCAGGCACTGCTACCAAAGGATCTGTTCCAGTCCTCGAACAGCTTCAGAGAATCAGGCGAAAGACTGGGTCGGATAACTTTCAGAGAGTTCTGGAAGTCGCTATAGCTAATGCCACGAACCTAGGGGGTGGTAAAACGGTAAAACGGTAAAATTAACCATCGACATTAAAGCCACTGCAGCACTAGGTTGTACTGATGCCGGGCTAGGAGAAATAAGGAAAAGCCACCGAAATCATGAAATAACATTTAAGTTGCCGAACTATTAAAGCAAAATATTATAATAATTACACCCCACCTTAGTGGCGTCTACGGACTGTATTTGGTCTGGACGAAGGTCTGACAATAGCAAAGAAACAAATATCCGTCAGCTCTTTCTAAGGAAAATGGATGTTAAAATGAAAAGAAATCTACTGTGCATCGACACAACAACTTTTCACCTCTGATGGGTCCCAATGCTGCATCGCGGGCGAGGGCTGTCAGGTCGCTACCAGAATAGCCTTCAGTTTGTCTACAAGGCAAAAAAAAAACAAACAGACAGTGCCATCAGTGGTCCATAAGCATAAGTAAAAAAAATGTTTGGAAAAGGGGAAGGATAGATGGAGGGCTGTCAGGTCGCTACCAGAATAGCCTTCAGTTTGTCTACAAGGCTAAAAAACCAAACAGACAGTGCCGTCAGTGGTCCACAAGCATAAGTAAAGAAAGTGTTAGGAAAAGGGGAAGGATAGTTGGAGGGCTGTCAGGTCGCTACCAGAATAGCCTTCAGTTTGTCTAGAAGGCAAAGAAACAGACAGACAGTGCCATCAGTGGTCCATAAGCATAAGTAAAAAAAATGTTTGGAAAAGGGGAAGGATAGATGGAGGTGCGAAAAACAATAGCTTAGAGGTTACATGAAGCTGGATCACAGCCGTACAGAGCAACACCCTTTAAAGTAAACGGGTAAAATACAGGACTTCTCTCCCCGTGTTAAAATTGTTGTTCAATGAAAAACACATTCTGGCTATTGGTACCTGGCAAGGGAATCCATCTCCCAAGAACTCAGTGGATTGTGATTCTTGACGAGAAGTTTAGACAAGAGGACTTTTCTGGTCTAAAAAAAATTACAAACAAGATTGAGCAATGTTAATTCAATCAGCCACTGCCGCTGGGAGTTAATAATAAATAAATATTATCAATAACTTTCGGTTGTCTTTCACGCACCTCTTTGTCTGGAAGGGGTACATACACACGTTTTACCATCCGCCTGAAGAAAATAAAGAACAAATAATTACTACTAAGTGAAAAGGGAATAAAAGTAAAAAAAAGGATATGACATTTCTAGAATGTACCTAAATTTGAACAGCACTCCAAATATAAAATTTTATTGGTAGACATGTACAACCAACAACTACAATTACAACAATATCAACAAAATGGTCTCATAATTTTTACTCATCATTTTTACAGTGTAATA